GAACTCTCTTTTACTTCTTCTCAGCTGGCAGAAGATTAAGTCATTTTGAACCATTTTACAGGTCAAGATTTTGCCTTCTTTTTCTCTACCTCATAATCCTAGGGCATAGCACAATTTAACCCACACACCTAGTTATCAGGGAAATGTAGCAAATGTTACGCCCCCTGAAGTACATTTGTAATTCTTCCTGGAACTGCCTGACTGTACTGCATTTCAGTCAGTGCTAGTGCTTGATAAGACAATAAAATCCTTTGTTAAGAACTTCTGAAATGAAACAAAAGCACCAACTAATTGGTATTCTGACTGGGACTAATTCAAAGGTGTCTTCTAGTACCTTGGGATATGGTGTGCTCTACTTTGGAGAGAATCAATCAGCCAGAGATTGATGAAGGGGTGTTGAGGTCAGGTTTGCAAACACAGAGCCATCTGCAGAGTCTCCTGGGTTGGTACCTGCAGCAGAGTAATTTACAGGAGCAGGTGTTTCCTTTTAATCTACTTTTTTTTTTTTTTTTCTGCTGAAATCGTAACTTTATTGAGAAAATGCATGCAGTTGGTTATTAAGAGGGTACTTTGTCTATTGATGTTATTAACTGCTGAAAGGTCTCTGAAAGTTGTAGTTAGCATACTCCTTAAGAACACGGAAAGAATGGAAGCTGAGATACCTGTACCAATCAATCATGTCTTCAGAAAGTTACTACACATAAACATATTGAAGCCCAAAAGGCTGGTTTTAAAACAGAATGGTTTTGTTCAGAAATTTGTCATTTCTTTCTGAATATGGGCGACTGAAAATATCATAACGATTATAACATATTTGTATTTATGGCCATAAATATTTATGGAGAAAGGAGCCCTTCTGAAACAAAATAAAAATTCAAGAATTCCAGATGGAATTTCCCATCTGAATTGAGCTTGGATGGATTGGCACTCAAAAACTTTGGTCCGGATCCAAAAAGCAATTTGCAAAACATCAGTAAAGAACACATTTGGATTCAAATTCACATTCTTGGCTTTCTCCTACCTCAGACACTGATCCAGCTCTGCTATAATCTACTTAACCTCTTCTCTAGCCTAGTATCTCTCAACCTACATTCCCAGAGCATCCAAACTGTTAGAGCATCATTAACTTAAGCCAGAGACAAAACTGAAGATATGCCCAGTAAGTTTTAACTTTGCTCACACATTAGTCTCTATGCAGGCAATACGCATTTTCTGCCACCTCACAAACCCACTCACTCCGTACCCTACGAATTTCTTTTTCTTCACGATTTTTGAAGTGTTCTTGAGAATTTGCTTGGGTTTGCTTAATGTATTTTACCCACCCTTTAATTTTTAATAGGACAAAAATAATGTATGGGATAGTGGTTTCTTGGTTTACAAAGGTGTCACGAAGAAGTTATAGAACAAAGGAAAGTGAATAATTTTTTTGCTTATATGACATTATAACCAGGTATGTCCTCTTTTGCCCATACATAAGGCAAAACCACAGCAGTCAAACTGAATCTCTCACTAAAGAAACCAACAAAGTTGGAAATGTTTATAATTAAATGTTTTAGTATTCTGCTTACTAAACATCTTAGGTTAAAACTGACCTCTAGTCAAATTTTCTTACACATTTATACTATCTGTTATAATGACATTTTCTGTTGTATCATTTCTCCCATTATCTTGTAACTTTTTACTTATGGCTTGCAATAACTTTTAGGAAAAAAAAGTTGGAGAGTGACTCAGGAATTGACAAAATTCCTTGTTCTGTCTTTTTGTATAGGATTAGTAATAATTTTAAAGACAGATCTACTCTTCTGCAAGAATAAATAAAAATTCCAGACATCAGATTCAATCTGCTTCTTTTGGGGATTTCTCAGTTTTTAACTACACTAATTTAATTTTTACTTGATCTGGCATCACCTTTAATTTTATTTTTAATTTTTTCTCCGAGGAAGTTTCCCTTCATTTCTGGCATGTTTCCCTGTCACTCTGATGAATTAAAGAGACAAAGAAATCTTTCATTTCCCAGAAATAACTGCCTCTTCTTTTGCTAATTTTCCTTCCTATCCCTTATGGAAAACATGGCTCTTGTCTATGACCTATTGCTGTGTATGTATTTGTGAAATATTTATTTCAAATTTTTGAAAAACTTTCCAGTTTTGGAAGCTTTGCAATATATGCAGTCTATTCTCATCTAGGTGACACACAAGAAATGCAAAATACATGTATTCTCAGGAATCCTTTAAGCAAATCCATTAGATGGCTTACTATAAACAAAAATCCCTTTCCATTTCCCTTTCTTCCTTTTTACATATACATTCAGTTCTACAGCAACAGACTTAATGATTTATATTGCTCAGTTTTTATTTTTGTAACTTATTTTGCTTCCTTCCTCTAGGTTATGTACTTCTTTCTTGGCTCCTACATGAGCTTTGTCTCTGCAAAGGCAGACACCAAAGAAGTGCAGAAGTGCACTTAAATTTTCATGTCTTGGCTGCTGGATACAGCCAGGTATTTACAGAAAAACTTGCAGTGACTTGTAATGGTTTTCTGCCAGACACTCTCATGGTAAATAATACTTAAGCACATCGGAATTTCCAGAATTGTATCTTCCCTTTGAAGCATTTGTGCTTACTTCAATGCATCCCTATGCTATAGTCTTATTCAAGAAAGCAGCAGTTCTGTAAATTTGGGTAGCAGAAACACTAAACAAAGATACATTGCATTTTTCCAGCCTCCTATTTAGTACCTTCACTTAACTTTTGACTCAACATTTTAATTTAATCAAAATTACACTAACCTTACACTAAAGCTAAATATTTTCTTGGAAAAACATTACATTCCTAAATTTTATAATGATAACTGCAATAATATTATAAAACTTGTGTTAAAAAAGAGGGAAGTCCATGATGATGACATCTGCGTGAAATTTTGTAGCCCTCAAACATTGTTTTTAGAATTACAAAGACATGAAACTTGTGCTGCTTAAGCTGAAGATCAATTTTCTTCATAGAAACCTACGTTTATGTACTATTTCCTTTGTGCATTTTCTATGCTTAACTTGGCCCTTAGTAATTAACTTAAACATCATTGTATTTCTCACTTTTTCATGTTAAACTCATTCAATTTTGAGTCACATTTCTCATTTCAAGTGTAATGGACGTTTGATGTGGTGCCACAGTAACTTAGCAACTATCAAGTAGCATTCAGGACTTTGTTCAAAGTTAAGTTCGTTATGTTTCATTAACTGTATACAGCTAGTAGAACTACCAGGGAAAACCTCTGAATGAAAATAGGAAAGAAGGGCACACAAATTCAAAATAATTTTGAAGTGCACACAACCTATTTTTCGCATTCGGAAAGATAAACAAAATTTGCTACTGATTTCCAACTGATTTCCTTTACTGTTCACTGAAAACATGCAATGCATTAAAATAAGTCTGAGTGAGTAATTAGGATCACCAGGTCAACTACACAATATTAACATACAGTTGCTACTCGGAAAATCAATGCTCTTTTTTCTTGCCACTCTCAGCAGCCTTGCTTATTTTGCATATGGTTGCATGTTTAATGAGTGATCCTTCTGTAAGTGTCTGCAATTAGCACAATGATGATTAATAAAATAAGTCCTTTAAAGCTCCATTTAGGCAGCAGAACTGCACAATCAGGTATAATTAATTCATCATTAATAAATCATGGCTGATTAACTAATCTGTTGATTACAAGCACATTACTGCATAGTATCCCACCTGAGCTCTGGTGATTTTTCTACCCTTACCACAAAGAAAGACTAAGTAGCAGCAAAGTACAAAAAGAAAAAAAAAAAAAGCTTCAAGCCACAAGTATATTGGTTTGGTCAGGAAATTTAGATAGCAGATATATCTAAAATTTACACGGCTTGGTTCTTTATTAGTCCCCCTGGGTAATAAATAAGTAAAATTAATATTTATTAAATGCGGACATGTGAACAGTAATTGCTTCTTTAGTTGATTTATATTCTTTAAGTGCTGGAGTGTTTTTAAAGCACCTCAGATTCTGAGATTCACTCTTTGCATACGCCAGCAGGAAAACAAGTTTCCAGTATTGCTCCTCAAATGAATCCAAGTCACTAGCTGGAAAGTGATCATTTTTCTTTACAAGAAGGCAAGGTCAAGGCAAAATATGCCATTGCAACATTGCTGTTGAACTGCCGTCATTCCTGTGTCTTGCACATGATGATTCCGTGTTTGTAAATCAAATGTCACATCCCTGATCTTCAGGCAAGACTGAATACAGAAGAACATGCATTTCAACTTGGAAATCTGCTTACCGTCTTGCTCTCAATCTTCGTGGTACATTTAAATCACATTTTCAATATGTAGCTAAGCAGCTACAAGAACCAGAAACTTTTATTTTAAATGAATCCTAGGATTCTCACACTGTTACTTGCCTTCAGCTGCTTGGGCTTAAGTAAAACGTAAATTACGAGTTGTGATAGAATTCAAGATAGCTGGAAAGATGGTAATTTGGCACAAGTTCCTTATCATTTATAAAGGACTGCATATAATATCCAGCTGTTTCCACAGTATGGCAATGCCTTTGAATTTAAAATATATTATCCTGAAAGATCACAAAAAAGAAGAACTAATTCAGTTTAGGATAAAAGTGATTTGGAATGGAAAACAGATTTTAGCTAGAGTAACTAAAACAGTTACTTATTATATCCCTAATAAATCCTAAGAAAAATGAGAACACAAATGGAAAAAGTGACATCTGAAGCAGTATGCTCCATGAAGAACATTACAGAAGAAACTTTTAATTTAGGAGCAAATATTCAGTCTTTGAAAAGTAAATATTACATTAACCAATAAAGTTTTCTTTAAAATTTCAGCTACTTTTAAGTGTATCGCTATGTCAATCTCTTAAATCTTTCTGTTAAAACTTTAAACTACTGACTAAGCAGCAGTACTATTAGCCACTGCAACACCATTTGTCTTTGGAAGATACTGTTCATAAAAGAGAACCATGAAGCATATTGTTAAACCTTTTATATTTGCTTCATATTTTAATTCAAGTAAATTAACAAGCATGAGGAACATCTCAAGATGTGGCAGAGAGGATTTTTTTTCTTGGAAGGATGACAGATTTTAAGGAGAATAACTGAATACGGAAAAAGTTTGATTGTTTTATCCATCAGGTAAGTTTACAAATCAATCCAGGAGACAGAAATGGCTTTTAAAACATAGAATTCGGAAACAAATGAAACGATCATTTTAGAGCAGAAAAATGAGACAGCTGTCCTTTGACAGCTTTCTGAAATTAGTGCACATACGAAGTCATCAGAAGAAAGTGAAGAAAACAATATCAGGGATCTTGAAGTTTAGAAGTGAACGTTTTCAAGCACCTTTTAAAGGTGGACAGTAAGTAATCAAAGATTCTTGATGACCATGGTGATTCAGTGTCTAGAACTAAGATATAATCAACACAATAGGAATAATATGAAGGTGTGAGAGATGAAACTGTTAGTATCAGTTTCTTCATAAAGTCAAGTTTCCTTTCAACACAATAGCAAATTGCCCCGCAATTTCAACTCTTCCATCATTACGCAGTGAAATCTTCAACTCTCCTCCACGGCGAGAACATTGAAAAGCTAAATAGAAACAAGAATTCAGAGTTAAAATTCTAGTATATAATACAATTTTATTTTTTTCTAAATGCATGAAAATTCAGGCTAATGATGCCTCTGTCTCCAGAAAGCAAGCAGCATCAAGTCAGTCACTGTACCAGAGACAACCTGGATCAATTGTCTTTATGGATGAAGATTAGCTGAGGGTCTATCTCAGACAAGAATATACATATATGTCACATACAGAATGTGACAGAAGTAATACGTAGTACTAAGCAATGAAGGATGGTTTGCTGTGGTGCAGCCAGCTAAGTTTCTTTTGCATGTTTAGGTATGTCTTGAATGCACCCATTCATGGGATACAGTTTCCATAAGCAAGAAGGAAGAACACTTATCTGTGAAAGAACAGTGAACCACTTTTCTAGTACTGAACTACAATTAAATAAAAGGTTCAAAGCATGTTTTGGGTTAAAGGGTAAATAAAAATGAAGTACCTAGTGGTCTAGGAAGAAACATAGACGCTGCTTCAGCTGTCACAAACTGAGAACAAATTGTTACGTAGACAGGAAAAGATATTGATTTATATAATTCTGAAAATATCACTTAATACAGCCAGATAAAGTTTACAGAGAATAGCTTTCCACCTGTGAATAATCACAAAGCTCCATTTTTGCTGAAGCTGTTTAAGCCATATTCAGGTGGGAAGATAACGCTTAGCTAGCATGTTGAGTCTGTAGTCTTGTTTCAGTAGTCCAATTTTAGCTGCATAATTACTTGATCAGCAAATGCTCTCGTTAAGAAGTCATCTTGCAAAGGTTAGAGTTTCATATCATTTTGTTTTTGTAAAAGGCTGTAAATGGATGAGACAAGCCACTGATGTTCACAGTCTCCCTACTCAATGAAATTCCAATGACAAAGGTTGCTCAAAGCAAACAACCTTTTCCTCACAATTCCCCAATTTGTAATTGGGTAGAGACTGCATTCAGTTCCTGGCAGAGTGCAGGATCTCCATCAGACGGCACACACACCATATGCTTTAAGATGGTTTCTCAGCCACAGCTGACTAGAAAGCTCTTACTTAGAGCAGGATATCAGATTCCCAAGGCTCCAAAACCAGTGAGAACAGGAGCTCTATAATAATTGCTACTGATACTTTCTGGTCTTCTTTATTTATAGAACTACTGGCTATCATTTGTAACTTATCAGAGCAATACCTATTTATGGACTAATGACTTTAATTAGAATACTCCATACCATGATAAATTTGATAAACTGTTATTGCCAAGTGTGGATACACAGCTAAACCTTCCCCACCTCCTTGTGATAGCAGATTTAAAGAAAAGAGATAAATTATTTCATATCTTCAGAGGTTGCCTGATTTTTGTTTTTCTTTCTTTAAATGTGGAACTAGTTCTGTCTGTTTCATGGCAAGATTACTGAGGTTATTTTGATATTGGTCCATTTTATTTTACTTTCAAAGAAACCTCCAAAATACAAGGAAAAAAAGACAAAGATTTTATGCAAGCCTGTATGTAAATGGTACTTGATCTTTTCTTTCTCTCACACAGAAACAATGATACTTCACACTGTGTCTGAAAGGAAACAGACCTGCATGGAATATTTCATTAACTAGATGATTTTATTTAATAGCATTGTCTTCAAAGAGATTCAAGCATCTCTGATGTACACACTCACTTTCTGGAACATGCAGTTGTTGCACATCCCTCCCATGTGCGGATTTACCAGGAATTTCTCATACTACACACACTATTCCCAGTATAAACACAAATCTGTACATTCTGATCTGTAGAAATAATATATCACAGCCGAATTCAGTCTCTAAGACTTTCTCTAAAAAAAGAAGGTGGACAAATCTACTGACTGATGGAGGGAAACACTTTGGCAGAAATATTATACTTCTGTGTAAATCTAATGTAGCCCTAGGGAAATAGAACACCTACTAAAAATAAAAGCAGTGAATTCTATCAGTCTGTATGCTGAGATTAACTGGGAAAGATGAAAGCTATGACTGTAAATGTGCAGAACTCTTCACTTCATGGGACTTAAAATCAGCAGAAAAAAATAAACACATATTTATTCCACCTTATGAGGCAACTTATTCAAAAATTGTGAGGAGACTAAAAAACTAACAGACAGGACCTTATGTTGAAAGAAATTCTGGCAAACGTTTCTAAAAGACAAGCTTACATTTGAAGTAGGGGGGCAAAGGATCTATCCCACTCCCCCAAAAAACTCACAACTAAAATTTCTAAACCTGTTCTGTATTGGAAAGGAATCACAGAAGTTAGAGGCAACAACAGGAACCATACAATAAAATAATTTAGTTAGTTGAAGTGAAGAGGTACAGAAAAGACTCCTCTAGCTTTACCAAATACAAAAAAACCTGCCCTGGATCAGGCCCCTTGTCTTTAAAATAATTTGGAAAGTCCTATAATTTGTTTGGATATATCATATTGCTCATGTAGGTTTATAAATATCATAAAGCTACATGAAAGACTGAATACTGTGAAAATTGCTAAATAATGTAAATATTGTATTCATTAGCAATTGAAATCTAACACCTGATAGGATAGATTATTTTTTTTTTAAATATAGATATATTTCAGGGACTCTTCAAATGAAAAAACGTAAGGACTGATAGTGAATTCTCATTTAACACACCTTAAACACAAGAATATTTACATACCTCCAGGAAAAATGATTAAAGCATTTTACCTTGTAAAAAGAATTGAAAATTCTCTTTGTAGTTGATAGGAGTTGTCAGTGTTTGACAGTTTGGTCTAATAAAAATAGAAGAGAACCTAGACACAGGATATTATGTCTGATACTTCAGCGGAGATGTAGCTGACCTCCTCCTAGAGGTCCCAAAACTCAGAGAGAGCTGACAATACATGTAATGTTCTTCGTTTTTATACCATTTCATATCTAATCTATTTTGGAACTAACAGATCTTTCATTTGGAAGAAAGCCGTAATTCTTGCAATAAAAGATATCAGATATTAAAAAAGCTGTTGTGAAAGTTTCTGAAGAGTCAAAATATGCTTTTATTTATAAATTTTTGGTGATAAGTTATCTTTTATAAATAATCAAATTAAAAATGGAATTTGTACCTGCTTGCTATCAGTAACATTTTGAATATGTATTTGTGTATATAGGTAATCTACCACAAATACATTTGCTACTTTACTAGTGATGTTTTCAGTAACCTGTAAGACAAATATATATTTTTTTTGCAATATTATTTATTGCTGCTACTGATTACTGCCACTACTGATTTTATTTTTATTTTATATACATAATATACACACACACTTCCTTTTGTGGTAATAATTTGAAAAAGATTGATATATACTTGCTTTACTATTCATAAGAAGACTTCCCAGTGGCGATTTATTTTCACCTGTACTAGAGTATTTTTCATATTTCATATGCATGAAATATGAAAAAATCTAGCCTGCGGGAAGATGGGACTTGTTTCTTCCCCACTAAAAATACTAGGGGAGTAGATTATAGTATAAATTGCCTTTGCTGCTTGAGATAGTTTCTCTAAAAGAGGAAACAGCATGACACATATGAAACAAATGAAAACATAGAAGTAGAAAGTACCATATAAAAATACAGACAGAATTTGTGTCTGATTGTTTAGAGAAACACTGCTGACAGGTGTGAAGGAAGACTTTCAGCACCTGACATTAAAGACTGAAATCAACAAATCTTATGAGAAGATTGGCTACTGGCTAGTCCATAAAGATGCAATACCAAAGACGGTTGTTCTTCAGAAAATATTTTTTCCTCAACTTTATGATAACTATCACAGATCTGTATGATGTAAATGCAAATATGACCTTGGAACAGACTGATAAACGTTTCCTTCAATCCACGATGGAGAAGGTCTCAGTTACCGTGGATTATCATGCCAAGCTATGGAGGGCTAACAGATCCTTTAAAGAGATTATCATTCAAAAAAAGTCCACTCTGAGATTCATTTGGCTAAATATAGGAAGGCTTATATTCAAAGTGGCTGTTTGGAAAAGCATTTACAAACAAGAGTCCAATCTCTGATTAGACTAGGTATTACCAATTGTTGCCGAGTGCACAAAAAAATAGTATTTCTAACACAGTCATCACCACCCACTGAGAGAGACAGGACTACTAGGATATCATCTAAAGCTTACCAAGCTTCAGCCATGATGAAAGGTCATGACAGCTAAAATACAAAAGCTGAGATCAAAAACTAATGAGAGTTAGGATCCAGAACTGACACTTCAGATTCTATGCAAACATGGTGTGTCACGTTGGTAGGCAGGAAACAAAACAATTTTTTAAAGATTATCTCTCACAAAATTATTATATGTTATTCTACTCATGATGGGAAAATGGATAGGGAGTTATTACTGTTTTGGGGTTGTAATTTTATTTAATTTAAAGCTGGTAGCTTTTAAATAAATGGACAGCTTTCCAAGATGACAGTCCCTCTTACCAAGCATTTCTGTCTTCCCCAGCTGCTCTGACCAGTAGCTGCTTAAAACAGCATGGGCAGATCCTGAAAAGAAATTAGAACACAAAGTACAGAATTACATTAGAATCACTATTTTACAGAGCAATCACATTCAAAATGTAAATACCATATAAAAATCAAGTGACACCTGTGTGCACTTAAGAGTAAAAATGCCTAGGAGTCTGCAGAGCAGACAGAACGTAAAGCTTTGTCATTTCATTTATTTATGATCAAGCAGTATTACTTCCTCATCCTCTGACTTCAATGGAAATTTTGCGTAAGGGCTTCAAAATGAGGCTCAATTGGTAGGAACAACAGACACTACAGATTAAAATACTTGAGCCAAAGTATTGACTTTTGGTAAACAAGTGAAGTTTCCTAACAATGGAATCTCAAAATATTAAGCTTAATAATACTATTCATCTAAACATAATGTTATTCAATTAAACACCAACAGCTACCCATAAGGAAAAAAAAAAAGAATCTTGGATTTTTTTATTTTTTAAGAATAGGTAGACAGAAGTCAATGTGCAAAAAAGAAAGAATTCCCTCTCTTAACAGTTTTCACAAGCAAACCTCTGGTTTTTTTTTCAGTCTTGAACACTAAGTATCAGGATGTAAGTCACGGTGGTCTTTTAAGATCTCACTACAGCCTCTGGTAGACCAACTTATTGTTTCCTGAGTGGCAGATGGCTTAAAAATGTAGAATGACTTATTGGATTTTTAGCTTCAGTATACATTAGCAGCTAGGGGCAAAGACACTCTGCTGGAAACCCAACTGTGAATTAGCTATAATTATCAGGGCTCTGGGACACCAGGACATGTAACAATTAAGAAATTCTCACAGAAGAAAGATAATACAAAGTTGTATCACTTACAAGTACAATTCAGCAGTATAATAAAGAGATTGGTTTCTATAAAAGAAAGGGTGATTGCAGGTGCAAGACAAGCAACTGTGAGCTACAAGCCTAGAAAATCTCAGAGATTCAGGGAACATGTAGCTTTTCCTACATAAGAATAATAATCTTCTCACAAAACTTAAGGAACAAGCTCTGGGATCAGATACATCCACCACTCTGTCCCCTGGTTTAACAGTAAAGCAGGATTACAAGTTTAATAACTGAAACATGGCCTGTGTTTACTTGCAAACCTTTCTGCTAGAAAAGCAGAATGACTACCATTATTCCAATAAAGACCTACTTCTATTTAGCAAAACACTTAATGAGTATTTTTGACTAAGTTCTCATCAGACTAGCAATTAACCTGTGATTAAGGGGTACCTAAGCAAATAATATTACTTCGATCATTCTGCAGCAAATATTATCACATCTATGGAGCAGAACATCAAAGGAAGACTTCGAACTAGTGTCTCTGCCTCTAAAAATATACCTAGCTAAGTTCTTATTACTTGCAGCACTGAGAACACACACAATAAAATGTTCTTAAACCAAGAAGCGATTTCAGCTGAAGCACAAAATAAACAACACTGAAAGAAGTGGATATGAACTTCTGCAGTACTTGCTCAATACCAAAGCATTCTCTTGCTTTTCTGTAATTGTAATACTTCAGGGAAAAGATCTGAAAAAAAAAAGAGGCAGGAACATCTGACCTGGCTTCCTGACAGCAGGAAGCTGATTTTTTCTGAATGAGGTTCACATCAGTCAAAGTTTTCCTGCTGTCCATAGAAAGCAGTAATTTATAAGAGAGACTCTGAAGTACTAATTCATGAAGTTTAATAAGAACATTTTAACTGAATTGAAACAAGACTAATTCATCCATGATGCAAATACATACCTGTAACAGGGTCTTCCAGAACTCCATACCAAGGTGCAAAATATCTGGAGTAAAAATCACGGCCTTTATCTTTTCCACTGGAGTTTCCCTTAAGAGTGAGTATGAGTCCTTTCACCTTTCCAGTCTTTTCAGCTGATAGAAATTGTTGTGCGTTCACTTGCAGTTTTTCTAACACAGACCTTGAATTTAATTATAGAATATTTTAAAAATTAATTTCACACGAGTTCAAGTATTGAAAAGCATCAGAAAGCTACAAAACTGTCTTCTCTACAATCTCAAAACAGCCACAACAAAGTGTTGGAGCAAATTGTTCTCCCAATGTCTTTTGACATAAGACTACCCTGAATATACTACACTCCTAGTAAGCAGAGAAAAAAGGCCAGGCCATGTATTTCCTATTTCTGAAAACAGAAATAAAATGCCCAGAAAAAAAGCTCTAGAAATATACACTTTCATTTCTGTTTTTCCATCACTGGACAAAATATTTCATCACTACAGAATGCAAAGTGTAAGCACTCCACATGCTTCCAGAAAAAGGAAACAACTAATACTTTTCAGATCTTCAAAGAATTGTAAAGCACTCTATAACAGTCCCAATTCTCTCAGTCTCTGTGAAGCTGCAGATACCTCCCTAAAAAATGAAGTATTGAAAGAGTAAAAATACTGATATTCAGCTGATTTTTTTGTTTAAATCTCCCCATTACCTCACTCTATAAACAGTAGTTTGGCCAAATTTCAAGTAACAATTGCAATTTGACCTGATTAAAAAATTTAGGCTTGAACAATATATATGTATATGTATGTATGTGTGTGTATATATAAATATATATATATATATATATATATACACACACACACATATATATATGTGTGTATGTGTGTGTACATACATATATATATACATACATATATATATGTGTGTATATATATATACATATATATATATGTGTGTGTGTATATATATGTGTGTGTATATATATATATATATATACACACACACACACACACACACACACACAAATGATATTCAACAAGGAAATTCAGGTCTCTGAGATTAACAAATGCTTTGAAATCAATTGAATTGGAATTTCCTCTGTAAAGCTACTTATGATGCTGTAAGGAATGTGTAAGCAGATTACAGTCAATTGGGCATGTGAATCCACGGCATTCTGTCGATGTGTCTTGTCTCACCATGAGGACCTCTATAGCTCTACAATTAATAGTTCTTCAGCTGAGAAGCTAGACTCCCAGTTTAGTTTAGTTTTGCTGGTTCTGTAAACTTACACGGGAAGATTACAGAATTATTTAACATGAGAGTTTAAATTAGAGTTTTTAATCTCCAACTGTTTCTAAAAAAAAGTAAGTAAACCTAGCCTATATGGAATAGTGGTTAAATGAAAGGAATCAATTTCTGCATGCTTGATTCAAAAAGTATCACAAACCTTTCATAAGTATCACTGAGGCGGACCAGGAGCTTCTTTGTGTCAGGAGAATAACGGAGATCTTGAACAATCATGTCACCAACAGCTGCCTGGTAAAAAAGAGTTAAAGGAACAAAGAAAAACAGAGTCATCTGAATATAAAATATCTCCTTAAAATATTCCTCAAACAAATTCTCTGCTAGAATAGGGCTCATGCAAGGTCTTTGATGCAGCCCATGAGAACACACATGCAAGAAAATTAAATTCACTAAGTGCATGAATGGATATGGGCAGGTGCCAGGAGCTTCATGTTTGTCAACTTGGAAAGAAATCCAGAAACTAAGAGCAGGGCAAGGACACCAGAGTACCCTCACATACATTCACTGAAATACATGCCAAGCACCGGCAGTGGAAGACAAAAAGGTTAACTGCAGCATTTTGGAGAATTCCATTTCTTGAACTGCAGAACTTAAGAGTTTTCAGGTTTTATGAATCTCTATGAAGTACCTCAACCAACATCATGTTGTCACTGTTCAGCCATTTTAATATACAAAAATAAGTATAGCTAATTTAAATGTATTTCTAAGAGTATTTCTACTTACCTTTATTAACTCTCCTACTTCCTCAAGTGCCTAAAGCAAAAAAAAAAAAAAAAAAAAAAGAAAAACTGTAAAAGATAGAACATGTATGCCATACAGCTATCTGACTACAGATAGGTAGATATATATACACCCATGCAAACATAAACACAGGCTTTCCTTGAAAGCCTTTTATAAATAAAATTTTGACTCACCTGTGGGTAGGTTGAATAAAGCGGTAAGTCCAGGACAATATGATCTTTCTCTCGTCTCGTTTTTAATTCCCCACTCAGAGTGACAAAAGTAAGAACTGAATTTGTGTTTTCTAGAGAGACACAATATTGCAACATTGTCAAGCATAAGAATTTAAATCTAAATTATTATAGCTTTTAGCCTAATACATTCAAAAAAGTTATACAGCTAAAAACCTAATAGCTACAGTAAACCTGTATTCCAGGACAAAATTCCCAGCTAATTTAGTAAATAAGCTGCTGAGACTAATGAATACAGCAACTGCCAGTAAGTCTTTCCTGTATATACCTAGAATAAATGGGAATTTCCTTTTATCAGTAACGGAGATATTCCCTATTCATCAAACTCTACTGTACCTCTCTGAAATGGCATTTGCATATTTAGCACTAGTCTTTAGTGATGGCAGGACATCAGAATCCTAAATGCAGACATCAGACTACAAGCTTACAATTAATAAAAAATTATAGTAACAAATAGCTTGTAAACATACTTTGTATGTGAAACAAAACAGCAGCTGAGGCAAGTGTAGCATGACCACACAGAGGAACTTCATTGGCTGGAGTGAACCATCTGAGTCCAAAGCAGGAACCTTAAAAATAAAGTTTGTTATTTAGTGGAAGAGGATTTTTTCCTCTTCAATTTATGTCAAAAACTTTATATACAGTAAGGACATTTAAGTTAAAATGCATGCTGTAATCAGTCTCAGTCCCAAACACCCTTTTAGGAATCTATTTTGTACTGATTTTTGGAATAGCCATTGCTTTTGAGCCAGGACTACAACTTGAGTCTACAGAGGAAAGCTACTTTGTTATAAGGACAAAGAATTTGCAGAGTAGAGAAGCTCCTTGCTTACAAGTGTAAAACAAGATTTTTCCCCATGAATAAAACACAATGCACCAGTAAAGAGTTTTGCTGGTATAATGGAATTTACACCTCAGCTAGAGCAGTTATGACTTATTTTGTTTAAACTACCAGTTAATAGTGGTAAAAGACTAATGTATTCTAACCATTTATTTCACTAAAAAATTGATTTCAATTGGTTGATTAAAAAAATTCAAAAAATCTAAGATAACTAGATGCTAACTCAGTACCTTAATCTGAAATCTGTCTTCAGGATAACACAGCTGCAAAGTGAGTAGAATCAGCATACTGAGAACTAATCCACAAAGCAATTCTGATTGGGCTCTGTGTTTGATATTTTTTGCCTTTTTCAGCATCTACCCGTTTCCTCACCCCACACATATACAAGCCCTACCAAAGAAGAAGAGTGAATTCTGTCCACTCAAACTGATCAAATAAGCAGCCTTAAGCGTTTGTTTGTGCAATTCCACATTCCTTGTTTTTGATGGAAACCTGTTTTTTTCCGGTACTGGCTCCACAGTCAGTTTCTAAGACTTTGTGCAAACTCAAAGAACAGCTTACAGTTACCCTGGTGATGATTTCCTGAACAGCCAAGCCAGATTCTGCTCACTCTGCAGTCCTGTGCATACAGAATAAGCCCTGTCTCTCTTCTGGATGTATAATAGAACTATCTCAAGAGATAATTAGTAGAAATAGAAGTATTAATTGAAGGATCTTTGCATGGCACTTTCAGGAGATTTTCTGTATACAGCTTGCTTACTTAGTGAAAGATACTAATACAAATGTTCTAATTTATGAGTGTTTGCATATTATAAAATTAATTTGATATGCAAAACAAGTACTTTAAAGAATCCATGTGCAAAAACCTTAATATTATTATTGTAAGATGCAACTCAACTCCAAGATTTTGTTTTTGCTGTCTTACAAACTAGCTTATTCCTTATAAATGAACCCACAGTATCTTCTTATTCTTTTGAAAGCAATATTGGTGCTCAAACAGAACCACTCACTTTTGGTGAAGTCATCTGCAGGGTGCAGTTTTCTGATGAAGGCAGTTTCAGAAAGATTCATTTCTGTTGCAATTTTTTGGTGCAAACCTTCATCCAAGTCCTAACAATGAAGTGACAAATCCATTTAAAAGCAGTCCATAAAAAGCAAAATCAAACTGTCAAATAAACACAGTCATCCCATTTTTTATTGTAATAAAGCAGATTCATTTTTAGTTCAATTTTTTGCATTTCCAGCATGTATTCTGTATTCTGTAAGTTCACAAATCCTTGAACTACATGAAGAACAAAGTTACAAAAATACTAAACTCAGACATTTAATGAGTACATCTTTTTTCTTAATTATGATGAAAGTCACACTGAAGTAATTCTGAACAATCAAAAACTAACTAAAACCTCCTTCTGTAACTCTGAAAAATCAATGTCAGCAAAGGGTATGTAGTAACAGCTAGGGCAATGGCCAAGGCAGCTTATCAGCACTTACTGCTGTACCCTCAATACTAGTCTTTGAACATGCTAAGTCAGTAGAAGTTGAGAGATAAACTGAAAAAACAAAAATGCTGGGCTCACTACATTCCGCTCTAACTGCCTGCAGATCTCAACCAGTGAACATTGATACTGGGACACATGAGTTGTAGTGACAGTATGAAATTTCACTTAACCCTTGTTCTGTTGTTCTTTCCCCACAATTATGCAGACTGGCCAGGTATAAGCATCTGGTCTTCAAAGTACAAACAATGATGTACTAAATGGACCTGAACAAGTCCGAACTCCGGCGGGTTGAACTTTGCCCTGCTAACTTTACTTATTTCTCTTAATAATTTTAATCCTTTAAACCAATGATCCCACATTATAGATATGAAACAACTACCAATGGGCAGAATAGACCTATCCTTGCAGAGTTAATTCTATACAATTAAACAACATCCTAACCTTTTACAGTACCAAGAGTCTCCTTTATTCCAGGAAAATAATTCTTGCTGTTAATTACTCCAAAGATGCCAAACCAGAACACTGACCAGAAAAATTTTTATTAGTATTAAAATTCTATTGAAATACTGCCATCCTGTGGCACTTCTGAAACACAGCAAGTTTGCTTTGCCATTCTTGCTTTACTGGCAAGTTTTTGTAAAGCACCTGCTGTGCCTTTGAAGGGAACAGAAACACTGCTGTTACCTGCACCGTATGTTTTTGGAGCTTAGAATAAGACTATTAATTAGAATGTCAGCTTTAATATGACACGGAAGCCTCTAACCCTGTGTACTGTAAAAAAAAGTCAAAACTTCAACGTGCCAAAGGCAACATGCAAATTGCCCACAACACATTAATGTAATAAAGTAAGATTAATATAAAAATGCAATTAGAAGCTTATAACTTTAAGTTAAGTTAGTTCTGAGAGGGAGCAGTTAGATTTCAAAGGGCTACAATGCTTCTGAAGTGAGATACTCCCTATCACAACTTTAGCTGAGCTGGTTAAGTATACAATATGGTACAAGATCTAGACAGGATTGCAGTGATTTAGGCAGGATTCATGTGGTGAATGACTATTTATATTTTTATACTTAAATTTTGAACAAGTGATACCACACAAAATACAAGGCGTATAAATTTCTACTCTTATTTAGTAACTAGGTTGTGGTAGAACTTGTCAACAGCATATCAACTTGAACCATTTGTTCAGAACATCTTCATAAAGAGAACGACTGCTGTTGAATGCCGCAGAACTACCAGTCTGCTCTGAAGTGCTCCAAGCTGTTTGCTTAGACCTGCCAAAAGCTGAGCCCGGCATGTTCAGTGACCCAGATCCAGTCCTACACATTCCCCTCACACACACTTTTCTTCCACAGGAAAAGCAAAGAAACAAATAATAAAACTTCAACCAAGAATAAAATTATTGAATATTGATTCTGTTATTTGGTACTGAGCACTCAAGTTAGGAGTGGTAAAAAAACACTGCAGTCTCTCATACATTTTTTTTTGTTTTTTTAAACTTTTTTTTTTAAAACTTACATTTTCGAGCAGACAAACTGCCGCAGGGTTTCCACAAAACGGCCGGTTTGTAAAAGCATCAACCGTAAAAATAGGAATCTGCATTGCTGCTTGCGCCTATTTAGCTTTACGCTGATTACCTCAGGGTGCTTTCTAACCCGTTCTACCCCGTGAAGGGAGCCCAACTCTGAAGTTAATGTTTCCCTATCGACAGGAGGAGCCAGCGGGGTGCTGCTCGTCACTTCCGAGCACATAGAGGGCGCCCAACGGCGGCTTGGATTCATGACGGCAGATTTTAACCTCTGTGTGGCGTCCTGCCTCCCTAACCCACGGCGGGAGGGACACACGCCCGACAACCCGACCGGCCACGGCCGCCTGAGAGAGGCGATACCCGCGCCGAGGCGACGGCAGCGCTGAGGCGATGCCCGCGTGAGGCGATGCCCGCGTGAGGCGATGCCCGCGTGAGGCGATGCCCGCGCGACCGTTAGGGGGCGACCGTTAGGGGCGCACGCGCCCCTCTCTGAGAGACTTGGCGCCAAGCCGCCGCCGAGCCCGCCCGGCGCAGCGCGCATGCGCCCCGGCGCCCCTCAGCCACCCTCGGGAGAGGAGCGAGCGGGCGCTCCCCTCCCGTCCCCGCCGCGCCGCGCATGCGCAGTTGCCGCTGCTCGCCGCCGGCCGCGCATGCCCGTGTGCCGCCCGGGCGGGGCTGAGGGGAGCGCGGCGCCGCTGTCGCGATAGTTGCGCGCTCGGGGCCGCCATCGCGCCTCGGCTGCTCGCGTCGTTTCGGAGCCCGGCGGCCGGTCGGGAGCGCGGAGGAGCTTCCTGCGCGGCGGGACGGAGCTGCCGCTGCCGGGGGCGCGCCTGAGGGCTGTGCGAGCGGCTGCCGGTGAGCGGCGGGGCGGCGGGAGGGCAGCGCTCGCCTCAGCGGAGCCCGCCGGGACCGCCCGGGGAGGAGGCGGCGGCGGCAGCGCCCCCGGGGCCGGCCGCGCCCCCCCCGGCCCTCGCCGCGGCCGGGAAGGGGCTGAGGGAGGCGGGGGGGGAGGGGGCGGCGCCTCGCTCCCGGCGCGGCCGCCATTTTGCGGAGCTGAGGCGGAGGGCGGCAGCGGGCCTGCGGAGGGCGGGCGGCGGCTCCCCGGGGCTCGGCGGCGGCTGAGGGGAGGCTGAGGCGGCTCCGCCGGGGCTGAGAGGTGCCGGGGGGACGGCGAGGGGAAAGGGGGAGGCGGGGGGGGCAGGGGCGGCCGTGAGGGGGCCCTGTGGAGGCGCGTTAAATGGCGCCGGGCGGGGAGCGGGCGCTGCGGGGGGAGGCTGGCGGCGGGACGGGGCCGTGAGGAGCCCGCGGGAGGCGGCGCGGAGGGCTCCGGGCCCCCCCTCGCCTTCAGCCGGTGGCGGCCTGCAGGCACCTGCTGCCGGGGGGGGGCTCGGCCGCCTCCCCCTGCCCCTCAAGGTGATCCCGCGGCGCCGCCCCGGGCTGCTTGAATTGGGAATAAAGCCCTGCCCGTGTGGACGGGGGGACGGGGGGGGGGGGGGGAAGCGCACACAAAAAGGGGCCGGGAGCGTGGCCCGTGGTGCTCGGTTCGCAGACAAAGGGGAGGGAAGGGGAGGGTTGTGGTTCCACGCCGCAGCCGTTGCGTGGTTCCTGCCCCGCCGAGTGTCACGCGTTAAAAAACAAAAGCCGCCAGGATTAGCGCGGAGAACACGCTGAGGAAATAACGAGCGCTGCCGCGGCCCGCGTACCACGCTCCCTACGAGCGGTTTTCCCTCTTGGACTCGGGGATGTTGTTAGATGTGTATGTGCTTAAGATGGGACAAAGTAAAATTTAAATGCGTAACGGGAATAAAGCGTATTATCCATAATACTACTTAATAGTAGTTCATGGGAGGAAAACTACTTGATTTCCTTTCAGGCTTGGGGGGCAGACTCAGGTACATATGGAATTTAAAGAAACTTCTTCGTTTTTTTTCTCTTGATAGCATTTAACTTAAATAAAAATGGACTGGAGTGGAAAACACAACGGGCCGAATGATACAACTAACGATGGAACGGTGGTACGACTTCGAGGCCTGCCATTTGGATGCAGCAAAGAAGAAATTGTTCAGTTTTTCCAAGGTATCTCTAGTATAGTCAAAATATAGAGAGTGGCTTTTCTTGTATCTTTTACGCAGTGTTTTGCACACTTTAATTTGTAATGCCCATTAATGGGGTGGAGGGGTGGTATTGTGCCAGATTAGATTACTTTAAGTAAGATTTATGTCCTGTAATTACAGTACAACCAACTGTAGATGTAGTACACCTGAGTATGTATCTATTTTTGTTGAGGTGGTAAATGTATTATGCATATTGAGATAACCTATACGTTAGCATTTGGAGCATTTAAATTGCTTGATTGGTAGCTATGTTTTCGTCATGTAACCTAGGTGGTTGCATTTTTGCATAACTAAAACAGAAAACAAGTATGGCTAATTCCATAAATGTTTAATGAAAGATTGTTGGCTTGTATTGTTGGGTGATGGGGGAAACTTTTTTTTTTTCGTTGTTGTTGTTTAGATATGCTTAAAGTATTTGCTGCAGATGGGAATGTTTCAGCCTTTAACACTGTTCCCCTTGATGGGGTTATTTGTCCTTGGGTTAAAGGGTTGGAAATCGTGCCAAATGGGATAACATTGACGCTGGACTACCAGGGGAGAAGCACAGGGGAGGCCTTCGTGCAGTTTGCTTCAAAGGAGATAGCAGAAAATGCTCTGGGGAAACACAAGGAAAGAATAGGGCACAGGTGGGGATGGAGAGTTTGGGATGGTGTTTAAATTTTTATTTTTTGGGGGTTGTGGGTCAGTAATGCTTTTGGGGGGGTTGGGGATCATAATATGGAACTGGGTATTTTAAAGATTTTTTTTGTAACTGATCCTAAGTTAATTGGGGAAATATGGTAGATTTGGGGGGTGGGGGAGACAGTACTACTCTGTGTATGTAGCTTGCTAAACTCAGAAAATTGTTTCAGTCATTTCTGTCATGTGTAGGGTAATTTGTGCTAAGTGCTACTATAGCCAGACATTGTTTTTCACCAGTATCTTTCTCATACTGGAAAGACATGTTCTATGCTTAATTTGTACAGCTAGAATTTTCACACAGTAATTTTTGCTATTGTTAAGTTTTTCTTTGATACAGTAAAGATTCTTATGGTTTTGAGAAGAAAATTAAGTTGTATGGTATCTTTAGTCATTTTTATTGGATTGTACATCTAGTTGTAGAAAACGTAGTATGGCCTTTTATAATATTCTGAGAGCTTACGCATGTATTCTTACTTGTACTTTGAAAATCCTCTCTTATTCAGATATATTGAAATCTTCAAAAGTAGTAAGAGTGAAATCAGAGGATTCTGTGACCTGCCAAGAAGAATGATGGGACAACAGCGACCTGGACCATATGATAGACCAATAGGAGGAAGAGGGGGTTATTATGGAGCTGGGCGTGGAAGTATGTATGACAGAATGCGTCGAGGAGGTGGTGGATATGACGGTGGTATGTTTATCTAATGATAGGGGTTCTGTTGTCAGTTTCATGTTTCTGACATTTTTGTCAAGAAATAACGAAATGGCAGTAGCTTCGTATTAGGTTTGATGCACTTCTCTAAAAAGAAATTTGACTTGTAATATATCAAAAAAATGCAGCTTCCTATTTAAGAGTAATGGAAAATATTTGAAAACTTTTCGTTAGAATTTTATATCTTGTTTGCATGTTGGTCTTTTTATGGTATAAAAGGGATTCTGCACTTGAACACTGTTCAGAACCCAGTTTTAACAGTCTGTAGAGGCAAACACAGACATCTTGGTGCTCAAAGACTGAAAAAACGATTCTTTTGCATCACTGTGTTTTCAGTAACAGCGTAATCATTCTTTTTCTTTCTCTCACTTGTACAGGGTATGGTGGCTTTGATGATTATGGTGGCTATAACAACTATGGCTACGGAAATGATGGTTATGATGACAGAATGAGAGATGGGAGAGGTAAAAAATACTGTTTAAATGTGTTTTTTTTTTATCTTTGAATTGTAAGACAGTATTTTCAAGACAGAAGTGGATTTCTTTATTAAATTGTTTTGTAAAGAAAGAAGGTTACTTAGGAAAGGGGAGTTGAGGAATCTCTGGGAAATAATACACAGATAAGTGTTTAGGTTGATACACTAGAATTGCAACCTATTCAATAGTCTAAAGTCAGCACTTTCAGGAAAAAAAAATTAGTAATCGCTTTTCTTGCTTTTCATGATGTACTTACCAGGTGTGTGTTTTCTTGGCTGTGTTTTTCTAGGCATGGGAGGACATGGCTACGGTGGAGCTGGAGATGCAGGTTCAGGTTTCCATGGTGGTGGTCATTTTGTTCACATGAGAGGACTGCCTTTTCGAGCAACAGAAAATGACATTGCTAATGTAAGTACACTAGGAAAAACTGACCTTTTAACACCAAGAGTTTACACATTCTTATCTTCCCTTTTCCAAACTAATTTACCGTTCTCCAGTGAGTGATTGATAGCTTTAACACATCTGCTACCTGAAGTCATGATTAATTATGCAAGTTCTGCAGAACTTCACAACAAACGAGCTTTTATAAAGGTAATGTCTGTGGTAAGGTTACTAAAGAAGTCAGATTGTTATTAACATTAATTCCTGTACTTTTCTGCATTTAATTTCCTTAAAAGATGGATACAGTTGTTGCAATCAGTATCTTCATTCTAAGACTTTCAGAAGCTGAAGTTTAACTGAAGATAGAGTGATTTTGTAAAAGAGTGATAGTAGATATAAAACTTTGATGATGGTGTTTGTATGTTGACATGAAACTTGTTTTAGGATGGACAAAGTGGGAAAACAGTAGGGAGCTGTGTTTGCAGGGAAAGTATTGTGTTTACCCATACGACATCAGGGTGGCAGATAAAGGGACACGTGCAGGATTTGAGCAATCTTGAGTCAGTGTGGATGTCTGCTGTGATTACAGGGAGAGTTCTCATGGGACAGTGGGCCTGGTTTAACCATAGGCTTTGTACAAGGGGCACCTTCTGTATTGTATCTGTTTAGTGTATATGTGGAACTCCATCAGGTTGTGCTCGTCTCCATTTTTTTCTGTATTTTGAAATTGAGTTGTAACATTAGTTTGGTTGTTTCCTTCAGTCTAAGGACTCTTCAAGAACAAGGGGCTGACTTCAGTCTTTGATTCAGAGTGCATTACTGCAAATTGAAAGCGTGCTGAGTAGTTCCTCAATAGTTATCCTAAAAGTTTGTTTGCACATACTGTCTATTAAAAGAGCAGTTGGTCAGATACACCACTGCATCTTTTTGATGACTTATGTGGGAAGAGAAATCTGATTAACAGCTCTTTTGTTGTTATTCCATAAACGTGTCCCTACTTCAGGATATTTAAGAGAGCTTCTTAAGATCTGTGGCTGGAGTTCTTCAAGTTGTATAATAGGGATTGTAAGTAATGCTCTGGAAATGAGTAATTAAATTTCTCATTCTACCACACAAAACCATTACTTAGTGCTTAGTGCTGTAATCCCTGCGATAGCAAAAAATGTACCTGGCTTAAATTCTAAATTTATGTGACTTTTTTTTTCGTTTTTATTTTCAGTTTTTCTCGCCATTGAATCCTATAAGAGTTCACATTGATATTGGGGCAGATGGACGAGCAACAGGAGAGGCAGATGTGGAATTTGTAACACATGAGGATGCAGTAGCTGCTATGTCAAAGGATAAGAATCACATGCGTGAGTGTTGTGTTCAAATGAGGTTTTTGTTGACCAGGCTTTTTTATGGTATATATAGGTAAACTGAATGTAAGGGTTTAAACTCAGTATAACTGAAGTTACACTGCATTAAATACACACATTGTGGTATTTTTTGCTGCTTATCAGAATAATGACTAATTGGTCATTTAAAAAAAAAAATCCTGTGGACTTGCAACTAATTCTGCAGGATGGATTTTTTTTTTCTTCAAATCTTTCTGTTTTCTGAATCAAAATACAACCTAGTTTATTGATTTCCTACAGAACATCGATATATTGAACTATTCCTGAATTCAACTGCTGGAGGTGGATCTGGAATGGGAGGCTATGGCAGAGATGGCATGGGTATGCATCAATTCCAGATTGAGCTCATTTTGCCAAACGTAGTGGGGTTCCCAGCTTGTAACGGTGCACATTCTGCTTTTCAGATCAAGGTTACGGCTCTGTTGGTAGAATGGGCATGGGTAGCAATTACAGCGGCGGGTACGGAACTCCTGATGGCTTGGGTGGATACAGTAAGTAGATGTTCTGTTTTAAAATTTATTTTCTGACTGTGTTGCTACATCTGTCTTCTGACAGATGATCTGGAAGGGTGGGTTCTGGGTGCTGTAGGATGTGCTGGGAGAAAGGGAAGGGAGGGCATTGGTTTAACTTCAATTACAAATCACATGTTTTTTTTACACCTTTGGCTACTGCAGCAAATGCTTTTTTAGAAAAATAGTGCTGAAGTATTGTTGTTCTAGTATAACTTAAGTTGGTGCTGAACAGTTTTGTATTACCCATCACGTTCTTTTCTTTTTTTAAGGTATGTATACGTGACCTTGTGTCAATTGTTTGCAGGTCGTGGCAGTGGAAATAGTGGAGGATACTATGGGCAAGGCAGTATGGGTGGAGGAGGATGGCGTGGAATGTATTGAAGGATAGCCTTGCTTCTGCGTAATATCCTGGAAGAAACAGTCTCTGGTCTACTAGACTTTCTTACAAAATTTAATTTCTTTTGTATTTTAAGAACTTTATAATGACTGAAGGAATGTGTTTTCACAATATTATTTGGTAAGCAACAGATTGTGATGGGAAAATCTGTTTTCTGTAGGTTTTATTTGTTGCATACTCTGACTTTAAATAAATTTTTATATTCAAACCACTGATGTTGATACTTTTTATACTAGTTACTCCTAAGGATGTATTACATATTCAGGAAACAGTCGGTTTAAGATGTTGTACTATGGTTCAATAAAGGTGGTTGTACTGTAACTCCTATGAACACTGAGTTCTATGTAATCTTGGTGTAGTGAACGAGTTTGAAAAATTCACTTGTTTAAGGGGGAGAAAGGTAGATTAATAGACTAGTTTATTTGGTAACAGTCTTTCCTAAATCCTTTTGATAAGTTGTATGTAATAATTTCTCAACATGGCATTAAGCTAAAGCTGTGGAGGCTAAAAGTCATAGTTCCAGCTTCCTTCCTTGTACTATCACAATCTACTGTGCTTTTCAAATGCACAGTTACATAAATGCTTAGTTTCCAAATTGTGTGCATCCACAACACCAAGCTACAGTAGTTCTCTGCTTTGCTGTAGAACTCCAGGTGCTGCATTTCACACATTTAACTTGCAAATGAGTTGCTAATCGAACTAAAACACTAGCACAGCTTTCAGCTAACATGAAATAGGTCAAATACTAGTTAATTTCAAACTAGCTTAGCTTTTTTTCTTCACAAACTGTTTTTGGGTGTTTTTAGGAAGATGGGGGGATTTTGAAGCAAGACATAAGTTTCTTTCATCAAACTTGTATTTCAACACCATTGAGCTTTTTTTCCTTTAGTGCACATAGCTGATTTGTCTGTATTTGTTCAAAACTTGGCAACCCATTTTATGGATGAGCTTGTTATGAGCCACATCTCTAAAATGCCAACTGTAAGCCCGATATTTGTTAAGTGACACAACCCCGAACACATTGGAAAAAAGTTTTTTGTGCATTTGTGACATGTAAGATGTGTAAGAAACAATTGTTTGAAGACACTTAACATACCTGATGTGTAACGAGGTATTTATTCTGAGCCAGTGTGATCTCCCAAACTAACTGCTTTGTCCTCAATGCCTCCCTTAAAATGTCAAATGTGATCTTGGGTATTGAAAGTTTGTCACCTGTTCTGCCAGTACTGTGTTATATATGTAATAAATGTCTTAACTGCAGGAGAGAGTAGAATGGAGTTTATTTCACTAGAGAGTGTGTGCTTGTGTCCAAGTGACTGGAAGTAAGAGCTGAAAGGGGCATGTAGGAAGTGAAATACTTTGGGAGAGGAAGGGGAGGAAAGATGGCTTGAAATCATTATACCAGGGATGGTGCAGGGCTCTGTTTTTAACTTGGTGCTCACAATCTAAGTAGGGGGTTCTTAGTCAGTTGCTGAGGTTTGCCTTGTAAAACTAAGGTAACAGAGGTCAGGACAATGTATCTTAGAGTCAGGTAAAGCACATCTACTTAAAGGTTTTTGTAAAAGCATAGCATCTGAATACTGTACAATAGTGTCAGCTCTAATCTTTCCTCAATCAAGTATGCTCAGCATTCTATTTTCTGAGAAAAAACACAACAACACTGGTTTAAAACTTACCTTTGGGAGAGCAGGGGGAATTACTTGGTTACTCAAAGTAGCTTGAAGTGTAGGTTACAAAAGGTACACTGAATGTGAGTCTTGAATGAAATTCTGCTGTATGGGACAGTGAATGCCTTATGACTGCCCCTTCCCCACTAATGCTTCATCCTGTAACAGTACTGAACCTTTCAAGGAACTTGGCATTTAAATTGCAGAGGAATAAAAACTCACCTGCAAACATCCTCAGATCAGAGTACTTTCAGGCGGCAGGTGAGCAGCACTTTGTTAAGTAAGGAGTAGGGTAGCTCCCCTCTGTCCAACATGTGCAAAGACATTCTAAGCAACTTGATCACATCAATAAAATGCTAAGAATACTCTGAATTGCAAATTTTAATATGACAGTGCTCCCATCATTAAGTTGCAGATCAATTAAATTTATTTTTTCCAAAAGCTATTTACAGATTTACAAATATTTGTTTTACATTTTACAAAAAGTAATGCTGGGTAATTTTAAAAACACTTTCCTTTACAAAAGCTACATAAGCAACTACATTGATGTGTGGAAATTAACAGGATGGCTCTTGGAATACTGGCTAAATGCCTATCTTTAAAAGACACAGCTAAGCTAAACAAAGTTTAGGAATGACTAAAAGACCTGTTTCTAAGCCTCCATGCTCCTGTTAGTAGGAATATAACAGGCCCATGGATGAAAGAACCAGGGAGTTGATAATTCTGCTGACTGCTCCTCAGTACTGACCAGATTGCACAGCTGGATCCAGCCACACAAAGGGCTGAAGGGAAGAGGGTTTAATGCTAGTGCAGTGACATCAAACTGAGGCCGATACTAAATATAACCCAAAAGGATGTATTCTTATTTGGCTACTAGAAGAATAAAGACTTACATTCCAGCAGAAATTACCATGGGATAACAATGAGAGGAGTGAGAGATGGTGTCAGACCTAGCAACACTCAAAAGCTGTCTTGAAGAAAAGAAAGACCGATTTAGAAACGAACTAGAAATCTGAGAAAGATAGTGACAAAATGAGGAATAACCTTCCTGTCAACACAGGCACCACACAAAGGACACAGTCTGCAGTGCTTAATCCTAGTGTCTCCTGGCAGCACATTCACGCTGCTTCTAGAGCTAAGCATGACTTACATGAAAACAATGCAGATACTCGTTTGAAGCTACAGACAACATAAGGCAAAACAACTGGGATGAACATCTCTCCATGAAAACACAGATAAGCCGAAATAATAGTTCATTTTCCAAAATAATTTGGCAAAACACATCCCCTTTCTTCCAGTGCCTAAAGGCATTGTTTCTCACCTGTCCGATAAAATCTTCTGCAGCTGTGACTACAAAGAACAGAGCTGTCAGTGCAATATTCTTTGATACATCAAATCTTGAGAATTGAGGGGAAGCAAACAAATATGGTATTTGGCAATAACTTACAGGACCACCTGCATTAATTTCATTACTAATTTTAAACTACAATTTAAAACTACCTACTGTAGAGTTTTACTTCACAGCAGCATACTGCAGGCAAATTGTGCAGCAGAATTAGGTTGGACTTGTTGCAGACTAGCCTGTAAAAGCAGGTAAATATATCACGTTTTTCAAGATCAAAATGACTAAGATACTTATCAAATACACATTAACACTGAGTCTCCTGTATAAACTTTCCTCCTTCCTCCAGAAAAGCTTACAAGTAATCTGTTAGACTAACATTGTGATCTGTATTTTTAACATGTTCAGTTTTAACATGTGTTTTCCATCTTTGGATCCCATTTTCTCTATTTGTATGAACAGGAAGCAGCCACTAAACTCCTCTACAGTGCTTTGAAAATGCAACTCCAGACTGCTTACCTGAAATTCCAGAAACAGTGCTGTACATTCTGTAGCTGGTACACTTTTACAGAATTAGCTAAATACCAAAAATTGATAAATTACTTGTAAAAGAATCTTAGGGCACATTAGAAGAGCACCTCTGTATAAGTATTGCATGGCAGGAATCACAGACACGAACAGGCTTTGGCGAAGAAGGCAGAGGCAGTTCATTGTCCGAACAGGCATTACAGAAGATCTCACCACAGTTTCTACAGTGATGCTAAATAATGGGGAGAAGGGAGAAGTGTTTGTCAAGAAAAAAAAAATAAAAATTGCAGTGGAAATATACTTGGTAATTGGATACCAATAAACCATGTATACAGAGTGATCTCAGCTGTGATTCCTTCCAATACTTTGGTCCAAGTATGAAATCAGTTTTCAAAAGATAATTCATCTAAATCTCAATCTATAATGCAATCTTTTACAGACCAAATTTCTAAACTTTGCAGATTTTTTTCAATCCCAAAAATAAGATGAACTAATATATTTTGCCAAATAAAAATATAATATAAGCATGAGTGGACAATTCTGTCAAGCAGCTCATGAGATTTAACATAAAAAATAGGTAAAATAAAAATTTCTGCATACATTAATAAAGCTTGGAAATTAACACCACTTTCAAATCACAATAAATCCATAACTTTTTAAGTTTATTATATAAAAAATGCAATACGATGACTTGCACGTGTCAAATTTTAACAGTGTCACAGCTGACAAGCACTAGAGATAGTGATTCCACAAAGTAGGTCGAATAATTTTAAGTATGGTCCTCTGTCACACTTTACCCAAAGGCAGTGTTTCTTTTGATAGCAGGGCCTGACTGTGTTACACATATCAAAGAACTAGAAAAGCATCTCAGAAAATATCTACACGTTCATCTGAAGGTTGACATTTCATACTGCATCTCTAAGACAGCTGACACATTTCTCATAATACATGTAAAAAAGTTGGAAGAAATTGTTTTAGTTTTACCTTCCTTTTGGAAAGGGAAAATTCCTTTTCACATAACTTGCAATGTGTAGCCTCTTTGTCCTTCAACCAAACCTGGCCCTGGAGAAAAAAAAAAGATCATAAATATGTGTATCCAATAAAGGTAAACCTTCGGGTTCCAAAGGACGAAACAAATCAATAGGAGTAGCATTTACTGCCTGAATTGCTTAATGCCCTGAGACTACTCTAATGTCACAGAGACACTAATGCAGAGTAACTCTGCTCCAAAACACTGCTAAGAGAACGGGAACAGGTGCAAAGAGAACATGCTTGAGGTAATAAAGATGGTCAATGGCTGAGATGGGAAAAGCAGAAAGCTATCCAAGTCTCAAAGCTGAAACCTATTTCTTTGTCCATCACAGAGGAACAATCCTCAAGATACTAGGGAGCAAAAAAAAAAAAACAAAAAAACAAGTGTCAAGAGCTGTTCATTTCTTTCTGTCTAAAGCAATTAATAAAAACAGCAGTGTGTTTGGCAAAACCACTTCGCACACCTTTACCTGGACTGAAAGAACACCTAAGGTACACACCACGTGATCCAGCATGTGTGCAGACACAACTGCTGCTCTCAAGTGCTCCCTGAGCAAGTCTTAAGAAAGTTCCTAATCTTTCAATGTTACAAATCGTATTTTTAGTGGCTTTTGGATGATCAAGTATTTAGTGATTGCTGACAAGTAACATGTAATTTAAGCTCAGTTGGCTACATAGATTTTCTTAGATACACTTTGTAAAATAAAAAGGGTGTACTGTTGCAAGAAGTGTCAAAATACGTACTTTTATGTCAAACAATACAAATCAGAAGCAACTGTATATTTTCTTTCCCTAAGGCTACAGAGAATCTCTGCTTCTCTCCCACTGGAGGATATCATAGAGTGAGTGTCTCCTGTAGAGCTGCTGCTGGAGAGGAGCCTTCTCATGCTTGCAAAACAGTTCAATGGGGACAGTGGGAAAAAAAAAATATCTCTCTCCTCCGAATCCTACCAACCTGCAATGCTTTGTTGGCTTCCTTTATATCTTCTATTTTCAGCTTTGATCTAAAAAATAAAGATAATGCTATTTCAAACTTTTGTCAGTTACTGCCCAACAACTTTAAAAGGTGTAGGTATTTAACAACTTTTAAGCAGAGTACTCTGAACTTCTACTTAGTATTTCATATTATAGCAGCATCTAGGAGATGCTGTCCTAAGTACTACACAAAGAGAACAAGCTCTCTCCAAAGAGCTCAGAATCCTTCGAATGGCTGCAGATATGTTTGGGATTATATGGATAAAAGAAATTTGTACCAGCGTAGCTCTGTGCAAATACCTAAAGCTAGCACATGGCATTGGTATGAACCAGGAATTCGAATTTCTGGACTGTCATGCTGGGAAAACCAACCTTCCCCCAGCAATCCAGTGCCAGCCCACTCCGGATTGTCTAAACTACAATATACACAGGAAATTTTTACACAGGGCATGAAAGCCTACACTGGTCATGGCAAAACAATTCAGAAGACATATCATTAAATGAAACTTTAACAACACCGGAGGAGGACAAAAACTGTGCTCAGAGCTTACTGCTCATTATAGTCTGAAGAGGCATAGCCCAGGCAAGGACTGGCTTAGCCTTCTGCCCAACACTGTGGAGCCCATGGAGCTGGATCCACCAGATGTGAAGGAACGGATGGAAGTGGATCCACCTCTGCCACAACGGGCCTGGGACTACTGCAGCACGTCTTTGTGCTCTGCCATCTGATAGCACCAACAGCAGCGCAGGAGTGCCTGGCAAGCCCCCTACTTGTTGCTCAGGCTCCATTGCAAGCATTAGCTTGGAGCCACCAAACACCACGGGCATCCAGCAGGCTTGCCTGCAAGATGTCCTGGCAATAAACAGCTCTTGCTGATTCTCAGGGGTTGTGTGAGTGCTTCTTTTGGGGGGGGGAATGGGCTAAAGTTGCACCAGGGGAGGTGTAGGTTGGATATTAGGAAGAACTTCTTTACTGAAAGGGTTGTGAGGCATTGGAATGGGCTGCCCAGGGAAGTGGTGGAGTCACCACCCCTGGAGGTCTTGAAAAGATGTAGAGCTTAGCGATATGGTTTAGTGGATGACGTGGTAGTGTTAGGTCAGAGGTTGGACTATGGGATCTTGGAGGTCTCTTCCAACCTGGGTGATTCTGTGATTCTGCTTGGGTTCCTTCTTTAGGAAAGCTAAGATATGCAAACTTGTCAGCCACTTCCAATGAAAAACTCCACCTACTGCCCCCCATACCCTTTTTACCTAGGATTTTCCTCATCAGAGCACTGTGCACAACTGCCTATGAGTTAGCCCACAAGTCAGAAATAAAAATAAGCAGACTTCAACTAACTGGACATTATTTCTTCCTGATAACTGGTTAGGTAATCTTGTCTTATACACTGAACTTCAAATGACCACCATCCTATTATTTCTCTTAATCCAAGTTAACATGACAAATGAAATCATCGTGAATAATTACTCGCTCAGCTTGGATGCCAGTTCTTGGAGAGCAGCTTCTTGGTCTTGACATATCCTTTTCAGTTGCCTGTTTTTTTCTTGAAGTTTAAGGAACTCCTTAAAAAAAAGAAAAAATATATCCACACAATATAGATGTATATGCCTAAAGCCCAGCAAATATAGATGTATGTGCCTAATGGCTAGAAAACTGCTCCTAACCCAAGCTGATCTTACTGAGAAAAGTAAATGAATTGATGATTCGTATCAGTTGATGATATGAATCTCTATAAAGATTTCTAAGTCCAATTCAAATAGCAACAACTCAAGATTAAATTCTTAGACCCTAAGAGCTGAAGCATTTTTGCTTCTTCGGTCCTCTCTAGGAAATAAATACAATTTATTACAGAGATCAACAACACTATATAGCCATGTACCAAGTCAGAGAGAACCTAAAGCACTTTCTGGCCTATCATAAGAAGACATTGTTCAATAAAACTGAAAAAGGAAAATGAGAATTTCATTTTTCCTTATTTGAAGGAGGGGATTCTGATGTGAATAAAAAATGGGGAGTAAAAAGAAAACCAATGTTTCCATTTTTTTTCTTAATCAATCTGTGAGAATACATTAGTCTAATCTCTCTTATCTACTTGCAGAAATCCTTAGAAATACCATGCCTAAATTCATAATTAACTTTAAAGTCAGCAGTAATTTAGAAACTGAAGTTATATTGTAGAATTTACTTTTTTAAGGTTAATTATTTCTTGAGTTTCTATTCGTAGATGAGATACTGTTTCTTTTTCCTTTTGAAGATCATCCTCTAGGGTTTGCCGCCACTCCTTTTCTATCTTCAAATCAGTTTCCAGTTGAAGCCTAGAATATGCAAACCAAACAAACAAACAAAAGAAAACAATCACTGAGCACAACAGTACCATTTATAAAACAAAAATGAGTTTATTTCTGGGTGCAATATCCTATTACCATAATAAACAGCTGATGTGTTTTTTAAAACAGAAATAGTGCGGCACTACTAAAACATTTTAGACCTCATTGTAATAAACAAAACACTGTCACTTAGGAAGTGCTTTTAAAAACAAATCATTTAAAAGGATCAAGACTATGGCATCGTTTTGAAGAGCTGTCCAATAAATGAGCAAGAGAAGATTAACCACAACCTTCTAAGGCATTTTTTAAGACATGCATAAGGGGATGTCCTCCCTTAACTTTACGTACCTTGTTTCTAAAATAAACAAACAAACCACACTGCCATTGGTGATACACAGAATGTTTACATACGTCTCTGGTGCTCACAGAAGTTATTTAATATTGTATCTTCAGGTGTTAATCTTCTTGTTTAGAATAAGGCTTATGGAGATTTGAACTGAATTAAGACTAAAGAAGGAAGGACTTTAAAGTGCTATTTTAACTGAGCTTTCTACATGGCTGAGGTTCAACATAAAGAGGGATCTAAATCCTATTACTTTAATAGGAGGCCAGTTATTGGCACTGGGGTTAATCTGATGGAAGATCCACTCTAGCTGGAGTTTTGTTATCAGTTTTGTGGAAGAGTTGGTGATTAGAATGTCATGGAAAACAAAGGACAGAAGCACACTGCCCAACCTTCTACAGCTAAATCTTGCCAACACACCAGAAGAGGAAAAAAAGCCTGAGAGTAGTCATGCAAGGTTTTTTGATGGAAAACCTGTATCCACATTAATTTCCCTGTTTTAAAACCAAAATCATTTTTAAAGGAAAGACTTACATTTGGGACACTACCTCAGCATCTGGTTGGAAAAGATCAGAAGTGAGCATGACCTTGAGGTTTCAGAATTGCAGAATTCTAAGGTTGGGGTCTGAAATGTTCTTTTGCCCAAAATCTGCAAAGATGACTGTGGTAGTAAAGTGAACATTTGTCATGACAGTGAAACAAGTTTATTAACATTCAGAGTTGTACGAGAGGCAGGGTGGGCTGGTAATCGGATTGGAATTCACTAATATTTAAGCTCCAATCCTTGTGTCACAGATCTGCAACTATCTTAAATTGTTTACTTGTTATGTTGATCACAGAGAAAACACCTGCCCCTACAGGGAGCTTTTTACATTAGATATTTATTTAGATAAGCACTGAAAAATTTAACAGGAGAAAGGGTAGAGGGTTGGCCTTTATGTTGCATTTTAGTATTTTTGATTCCTGTGGGTTTCTTCTCATGCAGTGGTAAATTAAACCATTTTTAAGGCTTTTACCTTATTCATAAGCCTGATCAATTGTACTATTCTTATGCCATTTCTGTTTAAGTTTATACTATTACATACTTATGGGGTTTGTTAAAAGTGTGGATTACTACTACTACACTACGTATTTTCCCCTGCTTATGATAATTTCCTAATGAATTACGCCAGCACCTTTAGCCAAAAATACTTCTTTCTCTTCCTTTTGAGCTGCACGCCATTTCAGAGGTGCCCAAAGGTAGCCTGACTTCCCTGGAATGCACTTATTTTCTGTCACCTTGCCAGTACCTAACATTACCATCTTTAGTATTTACATTCTGTTCAAAACCATTTATCAACCACCAGCCTGCATTAACACAGGAGACATGCTGCACTGCAGAAGGTTTATGGCTATACATTTTTCCAAACAGGACAGATATACTTACAGCTGTTTCTCCTTCTGGGAGAATTCTTTCTGCAGACTTTCAGATTTATTCACATATTCCTGTTTAAGTTTCTCATCCTCATTCTCTGCTTCCACTTGAGCCTTCTCTGCTTGCTGCAATCTGGTGTAATTCAAATCAACTTTGGGTAAAACTGAAGCTAGAACTAGGGTGTAGAGGGTGAAGAAGACAAATAAAAGAAAAATGGGGAAATAGAAACATTTCTAAATAAAAACAAAGTTTGGGGGAAACTCACAAACTCAAACGAGAAATCCATACAATGCCTAGAGAACTAGCTCCTGTTTTTCATACAGTAAGCGAGTAATCACTGTAAGTAATCAGTTTTTTTATTTTATGCTCATCAATAACAGATGCCAAAGCATGATGATACATTTTAGAATTGAAGCAAATACCTTAATGGTTTTTTTTTACTCTACTATATGTTCCTGTATTATTTTTAGAAGCTTTTTTTTTTCCCTTTTATCTCATCTTTTTTAAAATAAACCCTGTAAAAGTACGTGGCTTGGCTAGTACTTGACTAATCACCCATTAAGAGAGGGCAGAACATGTGTTGTGCAAAAGCAGCTTAAAACAATTCAAGCATAAGGCTGAACACAGAGCACTGCAATCATACAGCAAAACACTTAACTAGCCTAACACGAGACACACCGTGACAGGTCCCATTACATTTAGAGAACTATCTCAACTACATCACATTAGTAATTAACTTAAATTATCTGTATGAAAAATAATACATTCTTACAGTGTTTAAATAGCTCCATACTACAGACAAAATAAATAAAACTGATTAATCATGAAGGGAGGGGTTGTTGTTCTTTTCAATTTAGTCTTTCCTTTCTGAATTCTAGGGGTTTGTTTCTGCTTCAGCTAGAGCTCCCCTTGGAATCCACTAGCTCCTTGTGGTTTCTCTCTGCTTGACCACCTCTCCAAGTCCAAAAAAAAGATGGATGTAATGTAACAAAAGTAAAGGTGTCTAGATGGAACTTGTGCTATTGTGGCTACACCTGTCTTGATGAAAAGGCAGGAGAGTAAAAAGGCCTGTACGATACCACTGAATGCCCCCACCTGCTGTGCCTAGTTTAACAAACATGTTTCAAGTGCCAGCTCAGGTAAGAAGTGGGAGAAATCTGTGATAACTGTCTTGCTGTGCTTGATTTGACAATTCCTTAGCTGAATGGAGCCACCCATTCACCCATCTCAACTCCCAGCTAAAAAGAAATTAAGTCAGCAATACATCACATTTGTGCTTCCACTGATGAAGCTGCACCAGTGGGAATTTCCAAAAGCTAACAGTAAACAAGTGATTAAAGACTGGAACTAAAACACTTTCTGAAGTATGTACTATCTCATTCAACTATACCAGTTGTTGTGTGTTCCCTGTCACATTTGCAGAGGTAGTGCACAAAGGGGCCAAAGCAGACACATGGGAAGGAGAATACTTGGAAAAAGCAGGGTCAATTTACTGGGCAAGAGACTGAATCAAGTTACACTAGACAGGAAAAGACATGGCAAGTTAAAACCCTCTCTAAATTACAAATTAAAGTGCCATGCAGTTTCCACAGCCAAGGTAGAAAGGCAGCTTGTAACCCAAGAAACATGCTAGCCAACCCAAGCTACAGCACCATCCTCTAGACTAGCACCAAGGCCAACAGCACAGCTGTAATTCAGACAAATGCTGAGTTCGACCGAGTTCACAGCAGGATTTGAGATTCAGATGATTCCGAGACAGATATTGTTCACATTAATTGACTATGAGATCGTTAGTGCTCCCATTTCTGCTATGATCCACCTTGTTTCTTCGTTGTTTCTGTTTTGGTTTCTTCATTGTTTCTGTTTTGGGTTTTCTTCAAGGATGGAAGATTTTTTATTATTTTTTTTTTTTTTTTTAGTAGCCAGCTCACTTTAAAGGCTCTTGCTGGTTCCAAACCAAGGAATATGACATATAATCACAAAGTAAGAAACCCTTCTTGAATTATGGTGTCTTGCCCCCACTTCTGCAAGCACATTCCCTCCTGCTGATTCTTTTCCCTGTCAACTCCCCTTCCACACTTCAAGGTGTGAGGAATGTTTTAACAATTCGTGTCCATAAAGAACAGTCCTGTCTGCCTCTGGGCCCTGCACTGGCAATTTAATTCTTGAACCACAGATGCAGTGTGTCCCAGTCTCCCCCTCATTCTAGTCAATTTATCAAGTCTTCAGAAAATACTCTTCAAATTTATGAACCTGTTTGCTTTTGTTATTCTGGACTTCTATTTCTAACAGTTACAGCCTTTTTTTTGTCTTCTTCGAGATTAACTTAACACTGCTATAGGTGTGACTGTCCCTGTGAATGGCTGGTGAAGAATGTTTTAATTACTGGTGAAGTGTCAATAAGAAAGGTATTTGTGTTTGTATGAAGTCTTTGATGTCTGGGGGTTTCAGAACAACTGATTACAACTAGTGACTGTTATGGGATACCATGCAAACCTCTGGTATCTGACCAGATGGCCAAGAGATTAAGACGAAGAAAAAAAAGAAGCTGAAGGATGGCTGGGAGACAAGACCTGCAGAAAATGTTCTATAAACTTGATACGGTTCCAAAGGAGTACAAAGGGAATCATAGAATCATAGAATATCCTGAGTTGGAAGGGACCCTTAAGGATCATCAAGTCCAACTCTTGACACCGCACAGGTCTACCCAAAAGTTCAGACCATGTGACTAAGTGCACAGTCCAATCTCTTCTTAAATTCAGTCAGGTTCGGTGCAGTGACCACTTCCCTGGGGAGCCTGTTCCAGTGTGCAACCACTCTCTCTGTGAAGAACCCCCTCCTGATGTCAAGCCTAAACTTCCCCTGCCTCAGCTTAACCCCGTTCCCGCGGGTCCTGTCGCTGATGTTAATGGAGAAAAGGTCTCCTGCCTCTCGACACCCCCTTACGAGGAAGTTGTAGACTGCGATGAGGTCTCCCCTCAGCCTCCTCTTCTCCAGGCTGAACAGGCCCAGTGCCCTCAGCCGTTCCTCGTACGTCTTCCCCTCCAGGCCTTTCACCATCTTTGTAGCCCTCCTCTGGACACTCTCCAACAGTTTCATGTCCTTTTTATACTGTGGTGCCCAGAACTGCACACAGTACTCGAGGTGAGGCCGCACCAGCGCAGAGTAGAGCGGGACAATCACCTCCCTCGACCTGCTAGCGATGCCGTGCTTGATGCACCCCAGGACACGGTTGGCCCTCCTGGCTGCCAGGGCACACTGCCGGCTCATATTCAACTTGCTGTCTACCACGACCCCCAGATCCCTCTCTTCTAGGCTGCTCTCCAGCGTCTCATCGCCCAGTCTGTACGTGCAGCCAGGGTTTCCCCGTCCCAGGTGCAGGACCCGGCACTTGCTCTTATTGAACTTCATGCGGTTGGCGATCGCCCAGCTCTCCAACCTATCCAGATCCCTCTGCAAGGCCTTTCCACCCTCAACAGAGTCCACAACTCCTCCAAGTTTGGTGTCATCGGCAAACTTGCTCAAAATACCTTCTATTCCTTCATCCAGACCGTTCATAAAAATATTGAAAAGTACCGGCCCTAAAATGGAGCCTTGAGGGACCCCACTGGTGACCGCCCGCCAGCCTGACGCAGCCCCATTTACCATAACCCTTTGGGCCCTGCCCGTTAGCCAATTGCTCACCCATCGTATGATGTTTTTATTTAGCTGTATGGTGGACATTTTGTCCAGTAGGATAGAACTGGGAAGGACTTGGAGAGGAAGACTATGAGCCTTCAGCATGAAAGACCCCTAGAGACCCCCAGAGGAGACTGATGCGCATGCTCCAGTAGGAGGGACTGGACCCCGGAACCTAATTATAATAACCTGGTTTTTTTAGAAGTAGTAATGAATATGTATTAGTCTAGGAGCATAAAAATCAGCTACTTGATGTGGCTGGTGTGCGTCCTGGTGGAGCGGAGACTCCCAGTGCACCCAGCGCTGTTTGCTTACCTCTATTCTTTTATATTCTTTTAATGAATCCTATTTTTTTATTTAATCCTAATTTGAATCCTGAGCCATTTCTAACAAAGGGAAACAGTGAGAAAAGCACAAAGGGCAGTCAGCAGCTAAAGCTCCCTTATTTCAGCAGTGCAGGCAAGCAGCAACAGAGATATGATTTGTAAAGACTGCCTAGTGACGGGTGGAGAGAGGGAAAAGGGGCTGGGCAAAGCCACAGGTTAGGATTACAATGACCTGCAAGAAACTCAGCTTAAAAACAAGTTAGACAAGTTCAGGATCTGTGCCTGAAATGTAAATCCTATCTATTGCTACAGCTTCTATCCTCAGCAGAAGCTACAGCTACAAAATGTGCTGGAGCAGGCTGCCCTGCCTAAGTCCAGGCTCCAAACACGATGTACCTCTGGGAAAATGTTTTATCCTCCATCACATCAGCAGAATGGAATTGTGCTTTTGCTGTTTTATCCCCAAACCCTCGAATTCTTCAACTGTACGTATTCAACATATATTTTTACACGCCCCCCCTTTTTTAAGCATACTATTCTGAAAGAGCACTCAGCCCCCCTTCCCCAAATCTCCTGCTCATGCTGTTCAAGAAAACAGTGCTAGTTACAACCAAAAAAAAACACATCAAAGAGCATGCTTTTGGGATAAACACAGCCTAAAAGTGAAAGAAGTAAGCAGGGGAGAAGGGAAATATTAGCCAGAAGGGCTACTTTTAAAATCTTTTAGTACTGCAAACAACAGGAAAAATGGCTAGATTAGCAACAAATGTCATAAATATGTACAGTCAAAATGAAGATAGCTAACCTTTTAAAATAAACTTTCACAATTAAGAAGTGATTAAATACCATTAGAAAACTAGCTTACATTTGCTTAATAATAGTGCAATAATTTACTTTCTCTCTTATTTTTAAGAAGAGGGGCAAAGTGAGATCAGAGATGATCTTTCAGAAAACAAAATAGAACCCAGCTATGATCAGTTATAGTGCAGGATTTCTAATACCACTTTACATGTAAAATTGTTATTTTACAATGCTTAAGTTGTATTTTATCAGTAATTATTTAAACACAACAGATCAGGAGGAGCTTTCAGAATGATATATCTTTGACAAGTTTATACTGGTGCTGAGCTTCATGGCTGGCACATTTGACGAATGACATTGCAATAGTCCTAGTTTGAGTTAACAGATCTTTGTCACTTCATGAATGCAGTGGACAAAAATCAAAGACAGATGAAGGCAGCAAAACAGTAAGAACAAAAATTGGGATAAAGGATAAAAAGAAAAAGAAAAAAGAGGAAAAAGGATGTCAATAAAAGAATATTCATGTCACTAATTTTTAAAATACATAACCATGTTTTTTATAATCAGATTTAAATGAAAAAAAGACGTGTCAAACACCAACATGACAATGTTTATGGATGTGTTATATTCTACAATTAAAAAGACCAATGTTGCATATAGGCTACTAAATTAAACATATGCATCACATTTTCATGTTATGTTACACATGCAATCTAACCATAACGGAAGTTTATACACTGGAATTTTAGTCTTTCACTTTTCAAGCTTTCAGTGAAAAAACACATTACATGGCTAGAACAATGGTAGTTCCAAAGCAACTGACAATAATTTTAAGAGATTCAGCAAATTCAGCAGTGATCCATGAAGGCATTAAATGTTTATATTAAGCCCATGCTTAAGTATAAGCAATATTAATGCTTTGCTTTCTATTGCATTTCATTCATTTGGGGGGGGGGGGGGGGGGGGGGGGAAAGGGTAGTATGAATCTAAATTTTGAAACAGCTGAAACAACAGCTTTTGGTGTCAGCACAAAAACATAGAACCAGAAGATAGTGGACGAAGAAAAATGAAAGATTAAGTTTGTATTTTGAATAAGTGTATTTGTTAAAAAGAAAACAAACAAACAAACAGTAAAGCAGCAGTTAGAGTTTCAGAAACTGTCTTCAATTTTCTAGTTGGAAGTTACATTTCAGTGGCAACTGCATGGGAATGAAGTAAATGTAAGGGGATGGAGAAATGAATGAAGAAAAACAAAGATAGACCTGTACCTTTGTTCTAGTTGTTTCATCGTTGCATTAATCTGATTGGTCTTATCCTCTAAGCGACCAATTATTTCATTCTTTTCTTTCATAGCATCTTCAGAGACCTGTGTTATAAAAAAGGGTAAAACTGAAGTAGGTATGTATTGCACTGTTACCCCATGGAGTTTCTCTCTTCAACATCTTTGTTGAAGATGGATTTTTTTTAACATTCCCATCTAAAAAGTGTACTTGACAAAGTACTTAGACAAAATTTCATGCCTAAAAACATGTAGTTTTGTACTTTACATGTGTAGATGCTATTTAGTAAACAAGAATTTTTTATTTGGTTTCCTTTCTTAGTTCATCATTTTGCAAGTCAACTTAAATTCACTGGCCGTATTTTTCAGTAGCTCACTAAGAACTAAGATGCTTCAACCTGGAAATCACTAAGGTTCTCACACTATCAGACTTTACCATATGTGCCAAAAAATACTTTGTGAATTTTACTAGCACATTTTACAATTTTGATTGCTTGCACAGCTATCACAATCTCAGCTTGAAGATCTAAATGCAAGGGAGAACATTATCCTTGTTATACAGATCAACACTATACACTGGTCCCTGAACAGGAAATTCAGCATGATTAAACTGCTTGACTCATTTCATTGTCCAGAAAGTGGGTCTGAACGTCATTACATGAAATTTGTGTTACAGTCCCCAGAAGTATATCTTCAAAAGAAAAACAAAAACCTACAAATGCTAACATAATGAATAATATTCACTTCTTATTCTTCTTCCTAGCTCTGTTTGTATTTCTCACCTTCTGGTCCAGTCTCCTGACAGTTGCAAGCAGAAGAGTAGAATCCTTTGTCCTTCATCCCACTTAACTCTCAGCAGCACACTACTTTTTTTTTCCCTCATTCTGTCAGAGATTTGACTGGTTTCTTGTGCTGTTTTTGATAATTCCTTCCATACATAAAACTTCCTTGGTGCATAAATAACTTAATACTAAACCTCCTTGGTGTTTTGTTAAATGTATTTTGGGTCTCTGAGATCCATATTCTCACAAAGAAATTTTTTTTTAGCATTGCACTGTTACACATTTTCTTTATTTGTTAACAGATTTTAAAAAGCTGTAATTAGCTTTCTCCAATGAACCTTGTTTTCAAGTGCCATGTCCTACTTTGAATGCTCACATCTCATTTTCTCTTTAATTCCTCACCACGTGCCTCTACCTTTTATAGTTCTCTCTCTGGTTTTTATACAGCACAGGCCAAGAAGCGTGAATACCTCTAGATATAACTATTTCACATAAAATGTTACAAGACCATGCTCTTATTCTCATGCTCCTATTCTCATGCTCTGTTATTCTATAATCCAATAAAATTAAGTGACTTCCTTAAACTTTGCTTTGTGTGAAATCATGTTTGCATCAGTAATGTTCCCAAAAAGCCCACTGACCTAAAAAGTGGAAAGAAACTAAAAATTAAGGAAATAGCAGTATCTAAAGAAAATGGTAATATATCTTTCTTACTTATATCAACATCATTTCATCTGAGAGCAGACTTTACCTGCAGCTTTTGGTACATTTCCATGTTAATCGCTTTAACTTCATCAAGCTGCTGTCGAAGGCCTATGAGTGTATCCTGCTTCTCATGGATGTCCTTCTCCAGTAACTTCATGGCAAGTTCTATCTCATGTTTCATGCTAACTTGAACTACTAGCTCATTCTCCATATCCTACAAATCACACAAAAATCACACCAACACAATGCAACACAGAACCGTTCAACAATTATGCAACGTTTTATCTACGTTTTGAAGAAGTACAAAGCTAACTCTAACAGAGCTGCAGTACCACCTATTTCACCACATCAGAGATTCTGCCCCTCTGTAACTTTGCTGAGTAATTACCCGCTATCTAAGCATTACACTCACGTGCTTAGTGATTTAGGCTTTAAAAAGCTTAGAGAAGACAACTCACATTTCAATACTGGAAGATAATACTGATTTCTTACAGAGTTGACTAAGTATTAATTACAAAAATAGAACTACAGGATTTCTAGTTTTGCAAAAAAATACCTAGCATACATACACAAAGCATACAGTACTACTAACAATTTATCTGATTTTTTTTTAAAGAACTTGTATTTTCTTTACTATGCTTTGGCAACATAGTTACAGAAATGCTAATGTAATGTAATGCAAATTGCTCTTTTAGAAAACCTTTTTATTACATGCAGTTAGAGGAACAACACTCAATTAAAGTCAGTACTTAAACTGTGCAAAAGCAAAACTAGAAATGATTTCAGTCTCTTCTCAAGTATAATCTCTTCTAGAAATGCTGTGTACTTCTAGAAAAATGTACTCACTTGTCGAAGCTGTGATTCTTCTCGAAGCTGTCTACGTGCTTCATTGTACATTTCATCTAACCCCTGCCTGGAGTGTTTGTATGTCTGAAGTTCTGCTTCAACATCCACTTTAGTTACCTACAAAGATATGCAGAATCTTTTTTCATTACAAGTTTAGCAATTAACAGCATAATCCCCAAGCACAGTAGAAACAGGAAAGCAGCCTGTTTCTGCTACGTGTTCATCACTTTTATGAAAACTGAGTAAATGAGCAAACTAAGCTGTACTCCAGTACAGTACTCCTTCAGTACGTCATTCCGAAACACCGTTTCAATACTGAACAATCGAAATATCTGTCTAACCTGTGCTTTTACTTGTTTTCCTGTAAAAGAAGTTTATCTATTATCCTGTGTAGGAAGTTACGTAAGGAGTTACAAATTACAGCTTAAAAAGCATTTAGCAATTGTATATACAAGTATTCCAAATGATGTAACATTCTTATAATGAGACAGGTCAGAATAGACTGTTCACCAACTAAAACATATACTACCTTGACAAGATTTTCAGATAACTGTACTAAATGCCCTTAAGATGTAGCTTACAGTTTAAAGAAAAAAAGAAAAAAACCATGCATAAAACAACCTAGTGACCTAAAATTTCAACATATTTATGCCATAATAAAGCTTTTCAGATCTAACAGATTCTTTCCCTAAAAGAGCTGTTCTAAGTTTGGCCAGGTACTGCTTACTTTAAGTTGCAATGTAAACACAGTCAAATGACAATGAACAATGCTATGACGTACCTCTAGATGATGCTGTGTTTTCATTAAAATCAGAGTATTTTCACTCCTTAATTGATGGTTTTCTTCCTGAAGTTTAATTATATTGTTTTTGGCTATTGCTAACTGAAAAAAAAAAAAGGAAAAAAGACACTGACCATGTTTGTGAGTAAAAAAACAACAAATAAATGTTCTGATGAATGTAAGACCTAGACATTCTCTGCCCTACTCTTGCAGTCTATGAAATAAAGGATTCCTAAAGAAAACATAAAGGTCCCTTATTTAGTAATGAGTCACCTTTATTACACAACACCATATGTATCCAAGATACTTCATTATTTCATGTCTGGTAAAGAAGAACATGTTTTCTTTTCATTGCTTCGTTATGATGCAGAGACCCTCAAGTCTCCTTTTCTCATCCTGCATTTTTCTTTTTAATTGCATTCAAATACATCCAATTTGATTCTTTTTGGTCATCTTAACATATCATATGGAGCAATTTACATAAGAAAAGCTCTCCCACGTGGTGAGAACACACACACAAAAGAGGAAAACATTACAACTGGGCCCTATACTATATACCTCAATGACAGAAATATAAACCATCTGATCAAAACAGGTGGACACCTTGAAGTGAAGGTTTGCAAAGGAACCAGAAAACTGAGAATTAGCACTCAGAAAAAGTGTTTTCCTCTCTGTGGTTACATTAATACCCACAGCAAGCTAGCTATCTCTTCAGTCACTGAATTTGGACATTTAAATTTTCTACTACATGAACTATTTTTCAATCAGCTTGGGTTAAAAAATAATTGTGCTCTCTCTTAAAAAGCAACATATATTGGAATCTAGCAAAGCAACAGAAATAACTGAAAATATAAGATATAAATGCAAAACCAGAGCTAGGCAGATCAAAAACCTGTATATAAGCATATGGTGAATAAACGAGAAAGAAACATTTGGCTAAAGCTGAGAACAGTAACAGAAATTGCTTGCTGAACTACTTTCTGTCTCTATGTAGCAACCGGTGTCATCCATTATGGACTAGTCACCAACACAAAATTGTCTTGACAGCTGGCATTAAGAAAGGCTTCTTTTCTGTTTTTGTCCCAAGCGGGAAATTGTGATGTTCCCTAGAACTCCTTTACTGATGCTGCATGATACTAAAGCAAGTTGACTGTAAATCCCCGCAGCTACTGAACCCTTTCTACAAGTCAAATTAAAAGTATCTGAACATATTATAAAGAACTGACGTAAACTAAAAGAAGTTTTGTTTATAAATATAGTGAGTGCAAATAATATGTATTATATATTACTAAAAAATAGTACCTCTTCAATCAGTTTAGTATTTGATTTCTCTAATGAATCAACTCTTGCATGTAGACTGCTAACTGTGCTACTGAGAGAAAAAAGAAAGAAAGCATTATTCAAAATGACATACAAACTCATTCAACCAAGCTCAAAAGCTTTAAAGCAAGGAAGTGATTAATCATTAACAAGTGCTACAAGGTCTTCTCCCATTATTTGAGGTTTACCTAAATATAAGAAAATTAGTCTCCTTTGTTAAATGTTTATATACTGCTTCCCAACTCCCAACATCATCCTTGTCACAAACTCATTTTTGGATGTGATTCTACATTCCTCCCTTTCCTTTATCCTTACAGCTTATATTGTATCCAAATGTTTAATGAGTTCCCTTAAAAGGCAGTTTGCAATCATCATCTTGCCTTCCCCCAGCCCCATATAATGAAAACCATTGTCTAAATTATCTTCCTCCAAAATTCATTTATTTGTATAAAATCATTGGCTTCTCCACATTTTTTGAGATATTATCCTCAGGCTCCCTCTTTCTTGCTGCTTCTTGACTTCACTAACAAGACGCATCAGAATTTTTTTCCTTTCTGTTTGTCTGGTTTTTGTTTGTTTGGTTTTAAATCCAAACTACACCCTTTGACCAGCACTTTGTCATCACCCACCTGCCCATTTCTGCTGTAAGCACCTTTTTAGGCTTCCCTTTATGCACTGAAAAAAAATCTCTATTCTGTAAAACTATTTACTTTTTCACCTATTTCTAGTATGGTGTCCTCAGAAGCCATGAGATGTCCTTGGCTTAGTATAAGCACTGCTCTGCAACAATTAAAGCATCGGGGTGTTATTAGAACTCTTCTCATCCTAAGCCAAAACACAGCATTCCACCAGCTACTAGGAAGAAAATTAATTCTGTTCTAACTGAAACCAGGACACCAATTCATAAAGAATGGCAAGGTAGAAGACATCAATATATTTTACAATCTAAGGGGAAACGGGAAAGCAAAAGGCACCTCACAGCACTGACTTTCTTCAAGCACCATGGGATATTAGCAGCTAAGCCTGCTTTCCTGCAAGCTTTGGTTCTGCAAGAACCATGACCATACAATAGTTTCCAACAGCAATGAATCTATTCTGTTTTGGTCCTAGTTATTAAAACTGCAAACTAAATTATGAAAGGTATCATCCAGAACAGTAAAATTTTTCAAAAATTATTATTAAAACAGATCGCACTTAAAATTGTACCGACTGCACACCCAGATAAATCCTATGATGCTAGGAACCCTATGATGTTATGAACCCCAAGTACCTTGATCAATTTTGCCCTCTCGTTTTTCATTTCTCTGAAGGTTATGTTTATCAAAAACAAAAGCATGAAAATTAACATTTCCTCCCCTCAATGTCTCCAGAAAATGTAGACTCCTTTCCAACTTCACTGCATCCCCAGTCTAAGCATGAAGAATTTTCACCCATTTCCCTCAGGTTCTCTCTCCCAAAGCTGGGGTGGAAAATAGAAACGGAAATAGAGGTGTTTTACCTTTAAGCCTGAACTGACATTCATACTTCAAAATAATACTTACTTCAGTTGCCTGTTTAGTTCTTCAACATAATTCTTTTGGTCCAAAATTGCAGCAATCTGAACATTTCTAAAGCAAGAACATAATAAAGTGAGCTGTATCAAAATGCTGTAATGAATTATCATATGCAAATATCCATATTGTGTGCTTAAAAAAAATAAAATGAAGCAACTTTGTCTCACAGTCATGAAGTCAGTAACTTATTTGTTGTGACAACAGTGAAAGACAAAAGATCTAATGCTTTAACTGCAAATAATTTCTACACATGGAATGTAAAAATCTATACAGTCTCAAAAGAAAAAGGATATTTATTTACTCTGCCATATCTCTGGTTCTTTGATATACTGACTACATCACAAGCTGAGGGCTAAAAGCTTAGCAGATTCTTTCACACTGCCACTTTGCAATCCTTCAATACCATTCATTAGGTAAATGCAGCAGGTGATGTTGCTTAGGCTTGCTACAGGGTGCAAATATTCTGACAGCTAACTAGTAACACAGACCAAAGTAGCGTGCCGTCTATCTCAAGACAGTGAGATCAGAAAATTTCATATTCAGGGAACCCTGTTTCTACAAAGAACAGGGCACCAATCAAGAAAACATTTGTTGATATGCAAAAACTGAGGCATTTGGTGTGAGGACGTACCTCTCCTTTCCCCCAATGTCATCATCACTCTTCAAATACATGGAGAAATCGATCACCCCAACCTAAGGAAAAGCAAACGTACACAGTCTCATATCATGCAAGTAACTGCTGTTGTCATACATGGTCTTGTCTCCATTTATTAAAACCTCAGCTACATCAGCTTCCAACGGCTGGTCCAGTTTCAGTGTGTTTAAGTGAAGCTCAAAGAATTGAACACTAATATTTTAAACAGAACAAAACAAAAGGCCAGTCTCATGTGTTTGTTAAAAACGATGTTTCCTTTGAAACAAACTACACACCGTGAAACAAACATCCTTCAGTCAAGTTCAGAAAAGATGATTTCTTACATCTGATGGAGCTTTGCCAAGAGTTCATAGGAAGATTTTTTTCTGGGAGACTATCAGATGCTACTGAACCCTATCACTGATTGAGGAGACTTGAGATTAATTTGTCTATAGCATTTCACGCCATTTCTCTCTGCAGCACAACTCCCAAAACTGACGTTTCTCCCATGTTCAGCTTTTCAAAATTCTTTGCCAAACAGCACTACCTCTCCACACTTGCTGACTCCCAGGTGTGCACACTCAACTGTCCATTCATATTTTTATACCTTGCTAAACATGAATCCAATTCATATACTTTCTGTTCAATTGTAATTCAATCATATACACCATGAATAACATTACCTTGAGTTCTGCTTTCCATTCTATTCATGAAGCCCTACAAGCGTACTTAAACTATTTACTTTACCAAAACCAATTATTTCTGGTCTCTAGCAGCCTCTTCATAAAATTATTTCAGTTTCTCTGATCCACTGCTTCTTTCTTGAGCTCCGTTTAGCTTTTGAATACAGGTAACTTGCTAAGTCTAACATTTTCTTGGTTTGTACAGTGCTCTCCTGCACACTTCCTATCACCATCTTCTATTTGTTTTTTCCTCATCTTTTCTGAAAGGTCCCTCTTCCAAAAGCTTTCATTTAAATGTATTTTGCTTATTAAAGTAAAATATTCTCCCTTTACAAAAAGGCAAAATGCCATCTCTATAAAATGTACTTTGTTTTAATCCTCCGTATGTGCATACACACATTTCTCCACTGGAGAGGATTCTTCTGAAATACCAAAACCGTACTCCTGGGTGTGACTTTCATAACCCTTCAGAAGTCTCTTTCTGCTCAACACAACTTGCTGCTTTTGGCTTCTCTGAGGAAGATGCCTTATTCACACTGTTCTTCATAAACAGAATTACTGTAGAACCTCCCCAGGGCAGCCACTATCACCTTCTCAAATCAAGTTTTCTCCCCCCTCATAGAACAAAGCCAGCAAGTGACCTAGATAACAAAGGTGCAGCTAGCAATAGCTGTTTTGTAAGTTATAATACACGTGTGTAATTCTCAGTACTGGGGAAAGCACACTGATAAATTTCTGGAATTACATGCTTTTCAATATTGTGTCTTCTGTTAGTCAATATCAGTTTCTAAACCATTAGATATTAACTAGCAGGAATCCTAAAGACAAGTGAACTATGATTCAAGAGCACACAAAACCACTTAGCTACGGCTTTTCTTTAATACAAAAATTGCTTTTCATCAAACATATGCTGAAATACAGTAACAATCACTTAAACAGTTATGAATTTTTCCACAAACTATCTGGACACAGTCAGGGCTGAACACATCTTGTATATACTTAAAAACACTTGCGCCTATGCCTTTAAAAAAGATTTCATCAAGATTTTCTTGGAAAAGCTCAGAGTTCAAAGTCAACACAGTTTGTAAAGCATGCAGTGCTGCTCTACTGATACCAGTCTTGGTTCACATTGAAAGCAGTCACTCTCTTATAAAGACTTTTATTACACTGTGTGAAGCATTTTATCTTTTTTTCAGGTCACATTGCTCCTATTGTGTTCCAGAACAACAACAAATGAATTGAATGGGATTATGTGAACTATACTCAAAGAAAGAAGCAGAGTTATGCAATTAAAATGGGAAGAACTCTGCCATTACTACTGCTGCATCCATTTGACACCAAGCCATAAAACTTCGCCTTTGCACTCTGACCATTACCACCATGTAAAGGTCTGATCCAACCAACATTGAGGTTAATGCAACGGCCCCACAGATCCAGGACCTGGATCACACCCTCAACTATCTAGAAAGATTTCTAACAAGTCACAGCTCTATAATAATGAAATTCATTGTACACAAAATCTTCCAGAGTGCATGTTTGTTACTTTACCTGTATTGACTTACTTGTGAATCTAGGTCTTCGCCCTTTACACACAGGTTGGCATCTATTACATTCAAGCCAACTAACAATCCAACAATAACTGCTCCTTCTTCCTCCATCATTAGCGCATGATACTCATAAAATTCACTGTTAAATAAAAAGATTGTCTAAATTGATACATACAGTATATGTAGGTGCAATAAATTAACTATAAGTGACATCTAAATTTGAATTGTTTCTCTTATTCTAATCTTACTCCAACATTCTTAATGACAAAAAACTCTGCCTATATTTTGACTTCATGAATATTTAAAAGCAGGAAGCGCAGTTTGTCTCAGAGGCTACTAAAAACATAGCTAATACCCTTGGCTCCAGAAATCTAAGCTGCAAGCTTAGGGTACATAAGATGGGGATACAACTTATCTTACCTTAAAAAAGGCTTTTTTCCTGTACACTTGCTTTGAGCCACTTCTGATAGAAATTTTATCTAGTGAAAAAAAAGCTCTGGACTTTAACAAAAACACTCTTACTTGGCTTCTTTAATTTCGAGTGAGTAAATGGGTATAAGAAATATGGAAAGGGCTGAAATTATGAAAGGTTTTTTTAAAGAAAAATACTACACTAAGCCACAGAATATCAACATTTACTTCCTCCTCCTTGTATTTTTTTAAATAAAGTTTTAGACTTTATGGAAGAAACCGTTCTTTCAGTGGAAAAGTGCACAACCATTGACCAACAGTGTCATCCTGACACACCTGCATCATCTACGAGAAATAACAGTTCTTCAAAATATTTATAGGTTATAGATTTGAAAATAAGGTGGCAAGTCCTTTTTCCTTTTGTGCTTCATCTACCCCACCACAAAGCAGACCTTATGACAGAAGGGAGAAATGCCAGTTTTAGAATTGTGAAAGGACTAGCAAATTCAAGGCAATAGCCCTCCACACAATGGCTGCTTGGTAGAAAACCATGCACGTGGTAAGGGTGGATTAACCTCCCATACAGAATTTTCTAGTCCATATTCTGGATGGCTGAGGAACGCAGTAGGACCCCTTCCCCACCAGTGAAAGAACAGCAGGTACACTGCAGAAGGCCCCTCTACCATGATGGGGAGAAATGTTATCTCTTCATCCATTAGCTGGCCCTCAGTCTTGATGAGAGGACAGCATTTGGCCCCTCTGCCCCAGGGACTGGAAGAAATCAGCCCACAGGCCAGAAACTATGCCGTACTATGTTAAAGATAAATTAAAAAGTAGTAAATACAAGACAGTAATTTTTTCAGGAGACTAAATCCATAAAAGTAAGTTCTAAATGGAATTTGCTTAATTGTTTACCTGAGAAGATCTCTCTGAATGATTAAACAGCGAAGATAGTCAGCCATTTTCTTCTGCATTAGTGCCAACCGTAACCAGGCCCGGGCACGGCCCAGTGGTGTTCTGGACAAAGGGGACAGAGAAGACAAGCAGTTCAAAATCAACAATATAGCAATTAGTTTATTTTCTTAACTATCTTACCAGTATACTGGTAGAGCAACTGAGATTTCTGAAAGGTTATTTTAAATGACTGAGCAACACAGTCTGTGCAGACATGCTTTCTAGGCTTTGACTCCAAGCTTTGGGACAACATAAGAAAATTTTTCATTGACTCAGCCAGGTTTGCAAGTAGACCCTGGAAAGAACAATAGAAAAAGCAAAGGAGCCTGCCAGTAAAATTAGCTGTTTAGCTCAAGAGGGTAAAAGCATGCAACTTTCTACACACCGCTGTACTTTGTTTTCACACAATGCATGGCTAGCCAAGTGGAAAGAATTTTTAAGAGTGGTGCTTTTTCCTGTAATACCTGCTTCTTAACCTGACAGCAATGATTGTGAACAATGACCTTGAAAGTCCAGTTTCTAGCTGAAGTAAAATGTCTGCAACAATTCAGATTCCTTTCTCCAGCTCACTTATAAAGACTTTAGAGAAATTGTGAGAAAAGTAACTGAACGTCCACTACAACTTGCCATGCAAGTTTGCCTTCTCAATCCACAGTGAATTCTAACTTGAGCTCATACATTTTATGTATGTACATTTTATATCTGTGGTATCTTGAAGAGACAATTCAAAGAAAATGAAGATGTATATGTAATTAGCAAACATTAATACCTAACAAATTAAACCTGAAACTTCACATCCTCCTCTTCAAGTGCTTGCATGCTAAGTGATGAGAATGTATGAGGAAGAAAAAATAAAAACGAAAAAAGGAAACCAAGCCAAAACAGAATAAAAACAACACTACCCCCAAAAAAAGAAAAAAAATACCACACACACACCCCTATATGCTGTATCAAGATAGAAAGTGCAACACACTTAGCAAAAAGTATTATTTCATCAAGCCTGATACAAGAGTAAATAATAATTTATATACCTATCTGCTTTAGATGAGGTCTAAAGCTACAAATTATAACTTATGCTGCCATACAACCAATGACAATGTAAGCAAACCCCTTCAGAATATAATATATGGTCAATTAAAACGCTAAACACAGAAGTGGAGTGCAGAGAGATGGAAGGAGATTGTAGTCTACAGCATAAATTCACATTAGAGAAGGATGCTGTACTGGAGAATATTCCTACAAAAATCCAAAGAACTGCCCAATTAATTACTCTTCAGTATGGTACCTTTTGTTTTTATACAGCTTTTGCTGACTAGAAACATGTGTTCTTTGCAATTCTAGACTGCAATACACAACCCATTCCTTTTTCTGCTGTTTTTGTCTACCACTTAGGAGACTTTTCTCACAGGGATATCAGAAAAGAACATAAAAATCCCACTTTTGACAGTAAAAATTTTTAAGCAGCTACCAAGAACCACCTGTGCTCTCCCCCAGTATCGTGTGCTAGTGTTCAAAGGCTTGATTAGTGCCAAATGAAATCATGAGACATCTGTAGATCAGATTTTGTATCTTCTTGTTATGTTTTACCAATACAACTTACTTGAGGCCAGGCAAATCTCTGACACTTGCTGCTATTTCCTCAGCTTCTGGATATAATTTCTCCACAAGTTCCAGAGGACCCCAGATGGTTTTATTGTAGCTTAGAAAGGATTTTCTTACTAGGGGAAGAAAAATGTAACTGAATTCATTTAAACACTAGACCAGCTTCCTTCAAAACAACTAGTCGGTTCACCAGTGTCCAAAGCCCTCTCGCAAATTACTTTGCCATGAACATAGAATTATGGCTGATGCTAGAACGAAATAGTAACAAAAAGTGTGACTAGCTAGAAATACAAGCTACATACACACATACAGTTGTGGAATCCTTGGATCACTTACAACAACAGTTTACAAAACAAAAAGTTAGCAGATGTAGAAATATATGTTGTAAAGTATTAATAACGGTATTGATTATAACAGTTGACAACTCATACTTGATTCTCTTCTTAAAGAAAAAAAAAAAAAAAAAAAAAAAAAAAAAAACACTGTTTTCATCTCATTCAAGAAAGAAAGGAAGAAAAACTGCATGTTTGGGAAGAGAAAGATGCACCTAGTATAATTACCACACCTTTAAGGCCATGCTTCAGGCAGTGCTCCATGACAACAAAGAACTGCTGCAAAGGAGGGTAGTCAGAATCCAGAGTGCGGCCAAAGCTCAAAGCTGATTCAATGAGTCCTTTGATACTTAATTTCGCCATGTTCAGTAAATTTGCTCTTTCTACAGCTGTCGGGTCTTTTACAGCTAAGGCAAGAAAGAAAACAAAAAGTTACAGTTCAAGTTTTAGAAAAGATGCAGAATATTAAAATGGTTCTTGGCTGCCTTGTTCAAAGGAATGCTTATCTTAAACTAGATAAATTCCAAGAAATAATTTAGTAAGAGCTATACGACACTACATTATGGAAAAGCACACAGCTCAGAACAAATGCCCTTACAGATTGTTTTAGTAGGTGAATGAAAAAATGAGTCCAGAAATGTCAGTTCTCCATTACTTTCTTGTCTCAGTACCTCCCAGTAACAATCAGTAACTGCAAATTAACACCGGTATCACTGCTGTCCTGAAATACTCATCGGCACAACAGCAATCAGTGCCCTCACCATGATATCAAAGCAGCATTTCTACTGATGCCAACATCTACTTGGTGTATTATAGTATAATATGCTAACGACAAAGAGACGTGATATTTCTCTTCTATATATAGCCATTTTCCACTGCAGCCCTAATTTCCAATGACAGAAGCATTTGTTTTCCTTTTTAGTCTGCACATAGTCTCAGTGAGTAAATCTGGAGTGATTTCACGAAGACATTTCATATGCACATATGTGTTGTTTTTGTTCCTGGAAAATTAATATTTAAGTTTCTCATATAACTACAAATTAATTTCTACACATTAACATTTAAGAAATAAAGGTTCCACCTTAAGTTCCACTTAAATATGTTCTTGGTACACTTTACAAAACGCACACCACAAAATTTACATTTGGAGATTAAACCTTGACAGTAAAATTCCCACAGCTTTTAAAAATCGTTCTAATCTGACAGAATGGGCAAGGTTCCTCTTTGTTGAGCTCCAGCTACTGAAACCAGAGTGTTCAGAAGATTCTCAGTTAATTTCATTCGTAATTAAGCATTTCATGCATTCAGGCCACCTTTTATTTTGCCAAAGTGAAACAAGAGACAAAGCAACCCTCTGTTTATTCACCGTGATCAAAGGAACTTGTAAAGAGGCAAAGAAAAAACTTGATGATTTACTGGTTTCTGCTATTTGCAATTAAATCTAACCAAAAAAAGCAAACAAATGAAGAACACCTATTTAAACATTGCGACACACATGTCAAAATATGCTTATATATTTGTGTCTGAGGGATCATGAACCTCTTCCCCTCTTCCTCTGCAAATGTTGGTGTTAATATCCTTGTCTCTCTGGATTTCAGAAAGCACGAAACAGTGTTCAAAAGAAAATACCTAAGACACACTTCCTTGGTGGATTCCTCAAACAGCAACGAAATCATTTGGCTGATTTCTTACATAGCACAGCTCTAGGTATTTAGGTATTAGATATTATAAACTTAGAAAGCTGCATTCTAGTTTTCTGTATTCATAACTGCCCATCAAATGCCAAAGTACCATATTACCATACAGCCTGACCTATGTCAATGTTCCAGGAAAAAAATAATTGACTGAGATGATATACCCAAGATAACCTTAAAAATCACTTTTACATTCTCTTAATTTACCAGCACTTTAACAGAAAGCATTAAGATCTGGTGGCAGACACAGCAACCAACTAGTGACAGTGCTGTGACAAGGATTCCCCCAGTCAGCAGTCCCTGCTCGCTTGTTTGTCTCTTGCCTGCCAGCCCGAGGAAGAGCAGCATCCGTACCCCTTCTGCAACAGGAGCAGGCTTGCAACAACCTGAGCGTTTCTGCTAGTATGGGTCATGTCAGATTTCCTGCTTTCTTTATTAGGTTTGGTACTGACAGTGCTAAATTCCAACTTCATCGTAGCCAAAGCATTGCTCGCTTCAGGTGGACAGCTCCCCCTCGCCACGCATTCGGTCCATCCGCCCAAAGGCATCTCACAAATTCCTTTTGCAAGCGACCTGATTTTGACTTTGGAGCTGATCCTGCCCGCAGGCAGGCAGAGTTCCACACCCACCATCCTTTTAATCAACAGCCCTCCTGCCCAGTCCTTCTAATGCAGAGACACCGAATTTTAGGTCTGTTTTAAAATACGATCTGGCTGCATTGAGTTATTTCCCTTCATCTGCTTCTTAAAAATCACTACTTGGGATTCTACACGGTGTGCTTTCTGACAGCTGCCGCCCGATGAGGCAGGCTGCCCCTCCGTAGAACGTGGCGAAAAGGGCTTTTCTCACCCCAAAACAGCAGCAGCTGAAGGGCCTGTTTGCAGGCAGCGCCCGTTTCCCCAGCCTCACCGCCACGGCTCGTACTGCTTCAGAGCCACCACAATTTTATATTCGTGAAAATAATAAAAACGTGCAGTCACAGGCTGGAGCCAGCTGTCGCCAGCAAACGCTCCCTCCCCTCCCCAGAGCCCACCCTTAGCCTTTCCCGGCCGGTTTCTGCCTCCCCCCCGGGGACGGGAGGGCACCGGCCCCTGAGAGCGCGCCCGCCTCCAGCCGCCCCTCAGCGCCCCCCGCCCGCGGCGGCCATTTTGTGCTCGCTGAGGCGCGGCGCCCGCCGCCCCCCGCCACCCCCTGGCCGAGCACCTCAGCGCCCCCCGGGCGGCCCGGCCCGGCCCTACCGCTCACCCATGGCCGGAGAGGAGGAGCCGCCGCCGCCGCCGCCGCCCCGGCCGCTCCCTGCGGGCCCCGCCGCTCCGCCTGCCCCGCCGCTGCGTGAGCCCGGCCCGGCCCCGCCGCCACACGGCGTTCCCGGCGGCGGGAGGACCCGCCCCCGGCCTCCCATCGCGATAGGCGCGACAGAGCTGCCGCGGTGGCGCCGCTCGTGGTCGCTGTCTGAATAAAAAGGGCTCGGGCACCAGGCTTTTGGCGTCTGCGGGGAAGAGGTGGGAGAAGGGCTGCAGTGCCAGGGCTCCTTCGCGTTCAACGATACAAAGGAAAAAAAAAAAGGAAGCGATAGCTGTAAACCTTGACCAGCCCTGATGCTCAGGCTCTGATCCCTCCTCCTTTGTTTTGCAACTGCTGCCTGTCTGTGTTTAGTTACAGAAGTAGCCTAGGGAAATATATAGCACTAAGGCAGTGTTGAAGGTGATACCCATGACTGAGAAAGACCAGTTCTTAAGGCAGTGTAGATCAATCAGTTTTTAAAAGATGCTTTTGGTACTCCTTAGAATATAAGAGTATTTCAAAGAATCACAGCATAAGTGTGAGACCACCAGACCAAAACATTGTTTCCCTTGTAATCTGATTTTACCCTACATCAAGGGAAGAAGCAGATAAGGGAAGAAGAGTTTTTTTCTCATGCTTCTTTCCGATACAGGGCGGTAGAGGGATGACTAATTTAGTATAAGAAAAAAGCTACATCTTAAGCCTTCTGTGTACATATCCTAATCAAAGAAAGAAAAACTATTCTAACAAGAATATAGTATCCTGAACTAACAACGCTTATAAGCAAAAAGTGGGGTGGCAGCTAAACTGTATCTTTCAAAAGACCCAAACATGCAAAGTTGCTGAAGAAGCATGCAACCTGAAAACAGGAGATCCTGTCATGTATTCCAACTATTTCTGCGCTGTGTATTACGTGAAGCATTGTGAACAAACAACTGGAAAGAAACCAATATCAAAATTTATTATTTCAAACGTTACAAAAGTTAGGGAGTAGCTTAAAGAAGTACAAAGATATCCACATTTAACATCTGGAAGTGTCTGCAACTATATACACACAACCACCTGACATTGATACAAGAGAAAATAAATACTCAAGATTAAGAATTAGAAAAATTGACATTTCTACCACTGATCTCTGAAAGAAGCCTTTCAGAACTATTCTAGCATATGAGATAGCATAAGGAAGCTAGACTTAATCAAGTAGAAGATGCTTTGTATTGAACATGATATCATTAAAAGCACATGTTAACACCTTAGCCAGCAAGCTGCAACTCTAGTTTTGTTTCTTGGTAATTCTATTCATATTGTATGAAGACCACAGATCAAAGACTGAAACCAGCAGTTTTACAACAATCTTCAGCTGGGCAGCATTTCACTTCAGCAGATTCACCTGCTAAATACATTAGTTCATAAAAAGGAGTTAAGTGAATCAGTATCACATTCCTCCCAGATGTACATAAAATCAAGGGATTAGACAAGCCACCAAGTGATCCTCATATGAAAGATTATTTACAGTATGTATATAAATATAAGAGAGATCAGTATTTAAAAAAAAGGAAAACACAAGGCTTTGAAAGAACACATCTCCCCAAACTGCACAACACAGTTTATTAGGAATGCTAACAACGGGATTAACGGTATGTCAACTACATGTTAAAAGTGCTTAAAACCAAACTGAGCCCAGAAAACTGACTCGATGCAGCACTGGTTTACTCCCCTCTTTTCAAGTTTTTCTCCATTCACTTATACAGAAAAATGTTCATCAAGATAGAAGTGAATATAGAAATAGCCAACCAGTAGCCAAAGGAACAGAAGACTTCATATTCCTCACTTGTTGCAAATACACTGGTACCGAAATGGCCAGCTTAAGAATCAGCTTACTGAAGAAAGAAATGTGTATTGTTACTTTTACTGAAATGAACCATTTAAAATAATTTAATGTCATTTCAGTTTTGGCTTCATTCACATTGAACAGTGCACATCAGCACTCACCCTACCAAGCAGTGATTTACATTCAGCAGCACCAGAAGAAAATAGATGGGAAATGTCTTTTAAAGTCTTCATAATCACAAAATGTTACATTTGTGGATACTCTCATAAGCCCCAGCTGGAAGATTGAAGATGTAGCAAAAGTTAAGGAAGTAGTTCTCAAACATTTCAATAAGGTATTGCTATCACACACACAAAACCAAGATGAGTATGTAGTGATGCTTAAAAAAAAAAAAACTAAGAGCTTTTCAACCTTCCCATTTAAATAGGAAATGTAAGGAGCCACACCTAGAACAAATTTGGCACAATGCTGGAGAGAACCAAAAAAACATACACATATCAAAGTTACACTACTTTTCCATCTAGCAACCTTATTCCTGAACCATTCTCTCAACCTGTATTTAAATGTGTGGTTCTTCTAGAGGAAAACAAATCACAGTAACATTAAGATCCCAAGGAACTAAGATGATTAACAAAAAAACGCAAAGAAAGATTTAATAACTTAGGTTGAAATTGAATTGCAAATCACCATGGACTTATTTGTACTTTTGAAGACAGAGCAAAGGTTCTAGGTCCACCTGTTATTAGTTTGACCTCAAAGTATATTTCTGGCACATTTGACACGTTCTATACTGTGCTGTCAACCAACGTTACAACTACGACCTAAATGATCAGAGGTCTTTCCATCCTTACCTCCTATCCCAACAAGTCCCATCTTACCTTCCCCTTTTCACAAAACAGTTTGGAGAAAAAGGATATCATTGCCTCGGCCTGCAAGTGGCACAATAGCTTCTCCAGAGGAGGGTAGCGGCGCAGAGATGGAATGCAGCCCACCATGACTAGTTTGTGCTTAGCTCTTGTGATAGCAACGTTAAGACGTCTCCAGTCCTTCAGGAGGGTTCCAAGCTGTTAAACATAATTTGCTATTAGTTTTCCTACCTAAGTCGTAGAATTTAATGTAGATAATTTGTCAAAATGCATCAAAAACTTCAAGGTTGTGGGTGAATTTTACCCAGATTGAAAGTCAAGTTAGTACAAACAACTCACATTTTCTTCATTACTGTTCCTAACGAAAGATACAATTATGATACTTTTGTCTCTTCCTTGGTACTTGTCTATAGTGTTGACTTCCACTCTGTTCTCCTTCAGTCTCGCCATCAAATCAGTGATTATTTTTAATTGATGTCTGTATGGTGATATCACACCAATGTCTGAAGGCTTACAACCAGCCTAAATAAAAAAAATAGAAAGAAGAAAACAGTCACTGCAGTTAGCCTGGGATACTCTTTACTGTCAGAAGAGCCTCAATGAGGCTAATCTATATATTTAAATAGTGCTGCAAGCTATCATCTCTACACTAAAAAGTCAGTGGAACTCTAGGTATAATTGGCATTAAAGAAAATACTAAATACTGCAAGACCCCAAGCTTTGTCTTAAACCTGGCATAAAGATAAATATCAAAATCCTCACCTTCCTTTCTTCCTCAGACTGTGAGGTGAGCGTTCGTAACTCTTAATTACTCTGTATTACTCCTGAAGTTGACTAGCTGAAATAAGGAACAAGTGCAAATCCTTCCCCCTCCCTTACAAGAAAAAGTCCTAATCTCAAAGAAATTGTCATCCAGCTTTTATGCGGCCCAGCTGCAACCAGGCAAGGAACAGGGAACTGAATGCAGACCTCAGATCCCTCACTATAGTGACATGTACCTAACACTGAATTTATCCTTAAGGTCATCTCTCCTGTACGTGTGGTTGGTGCTTCTACAGCAATGTAAGATTCATTATAAAGCTGTCACTCTTGAGCAACATAATTAAAAAATACCTGAATAAATAAGGACGTGAGGAAGAACACAAGTTTGGCTTCTGTCACATTATATACACCACCTTTTTCTGCATGTTCTGGTGCTGGGACCTTTAGAAATATAAGCAGAAAATAATGAGTGTCTACAATCACACACTGTATTCTGATCCTTAACTCACCATATCATAACATTTTTATACTAAGTTTTAATAAAAAAGGGTAAAAACTAAATTTGACAGAGTATAACAACCTATACCATAAAGTAACCTCAGAACACAGCATCTGCAAAGTGGTTGAAACACTCCACAAAGATGAGTTTCTAGTAAAAGCACTTTCAAATAACAGAGAATTTTTAGTAAGAGCAAGGCACCTCAGGAAACTGTCAAGGCTCAATCATCTTACTTTACAGTTAACCTGATATACCATATAAAAATGGACTTTTTTGTAGGTGGCTCTTTTGGTTTTGTTTGAATACTACAATAAGTGGAATTTTTACAGCAGTTGAAAGAGACGTGACATCAGAGCCTAATGCTTCAACAAAACCAAGAATATTTTGGAAAGAGAAACTTTCCTGATGGTTCTACAAACAGAACAGCTCTACATACTTGAGACGGGCTTTCTAGCAAAGCAAAAAATTAAAATGGACCAGCAGATCCAGTTTCACATGACTAATTTTGGTCTGATTAATGGACAGACAGCATACCAACTCGTTTCCTGCTGTGACAAGCATTTTCCCTATGACCAACTGTTAACTTTTCTATGAAAGGGTCAGAAAACGTGCTTGAGAGCACACAAAGACTGACTGGCGAGTTCTTTCCAGGGTCAGCGATTATTGGCAAAAGGTGGTGTCAAGAGGAATCAGCATCCAAGCTGTTAGACTCAAATCATTATAATCTAGTCACCAACTACAGTGACTCCAAATATGACACTGAGTATATGTTAGTATAAAATATATTTGGAAAAAGATTAATCAACTCTTCTTCATTTTACCTCAGTTTATTTACCTAATTCTCATCTATTATGGAGTTTAATTTTTCCTGCAATAAATTGAGTCTCTATTAAAGCACACACCTGAAGCAACTTATTCCTCCCAATTTAAAATGTCTCCAAAATGTAATAGAGTTGCAATAATTCCTCCCAGTGGTGCACAGCTTAGACTATACTGATCCTCAGCCACTGGAAATGACAGCGTTCTGTGGTTGCAAGGACATCAGTAGGGCTGCACACTTACAGCTGCATTCTCTACATAAGAACAAAGTCTATAGCACATATAGCATTACCTGCAGCACTGCCTGAATTAAACTTTTCAACTGCTGTTAGATGCAATATTTCCAGCAGCAACTCTACCACTATTAACATCTTTACACATTGCAGTTTACATATAAACAAGAAACCATTTTTAAAGCTAAGTACTTTACCCTGCCTTAGCTGTATGAATTCTTATGTGCTGAC